TCCAGATACCCCTTTTTTCTGAGGATTTTCTCTAGTGACAATTAAGTAGCCATGCAAAACTTTTCGATTTTGGCGCCATATTGGAAGTGATAAATTTACTTAATCGTTGTCGATGGAAGATTTATATATGAAAAGTTTAATTAGCAGAATCTGTTTTGAGTGTAAAATATCTAACAGTAATAATAGTAGTTTATACGTGGCAGTTGAGTTTGCAGAGTTAGCTACCAGGCGAGCTATACGACTCCCAGGGGAAAATGTCATGGGAGCGCATATTTCCCTGTCTGTACGTTGCCGTTCCCTGGACCCCTCACGCCTCCTGGGGCTTTCTGCCTCTCTCACCACCCAAGGTTGGAGAACCGCAATATCGAAAGCCGTTTTATACCAGGTGCAGTTAAAAATAAAAAACGCCTTCGGTCGTCTTATCATTTGTTCCATTGAGATTTTACTACAAATGATACTATAATAGTGTTACGCCGTTCTCAACACTCCTTTTCCGCCTGCACTGACACGCACTAATCAGACCAAAAATTAAAGGTACACGGAACGTCAAACGTCTGGAACCAATTACACTAATTATGTCGTTCCCACTCGCATTGTGTCACAAAGTGGCGAAGTGTCAACTTGTCACGGACGTCAGTCGCTATCATGACAGAGTTTTTAAATACGCAGTCTATACATATAGTTTGTCTTTTTCGTAAATTTTAATGTCACTGTTAATACACGAGTGAGTATAAAATCAGCAAAGTAACCGAATGACACATTATATAGTCGTTAATTGTAGCATGTCATGTTCAGCTGAAATGTGATCTAGACTACAAAAACTAAAACAATGCATGCCAGAATCACAGTTTATTTAATAAAATACGTTTACATGTCAATAAGACGCGATTTCAGATTGTACAAGTAAATATAAATGTGCACAATACGGTGCTGACGAAGCACGTGGCTTGAAAATAGTGTCAGTGTGCGTGAAATAATTTTTACACAAATTTACCTAATTTGGCTGGATTGGCTTGCTTCCTTCTGGACATATCTAAATGCTTTTGATTATTCCAAAAATGTTGCACAAACCAACACATTTATTCACGTTATTAAAAACAGCTTTTAACGTTTCACTATAAAATGTGACGTTTATTATAGTCATGACCCTTTCTGTTAGGCATGTGTGTAAATTGACACGCACTGTATGTACGACGTTAAGTTTGAACGTATTTCTTGGAAGATAACGTGAACGGCATGTGTTGTGCTATGTAGCGTCGCGACGTTAATACAGGAACGGCGTTTAAACTGGACGTAGTCTACTTTGATCACAAAAGCGCGCGCATTTGCATCCCAAGGGAATAACGGCGCGATGTTCCTGTTAGTACCTACTATCCTGGTGAAAACTTAATTGAATGATCACACATGATAACAGTATGCGATCTTTGCTGCTTGAAATGGAAATATCATAAATTAACGACGTGTATCGACGAAGCGTGAATCATAGGCGGCGATGTTTAACTTACTTTTTATAACAACGACGTTAATATAATTTATAAACTATTGATAATTTAGTTTAATAGTATTGCAATACACTATAAGCAACATTTTTAAATTCAGTTTCAATTATCATTTAAAACAAAAACGCACATTTTAAGTGAACACGAAAATTATAAAGTTACAGGTGTTCCGAAAAAAAAAAACATGAAAAAGTTTGGTTTAAATATTCTTGTTCACTTTTATGTTTAAAATAATTGTTACGTTTTTTGGTTTTTCGGTGAACTTTGTCCAACTTGCGTTGACGTTATAGATTAGAAAAATCTGTGTTCACCTCTCCCCCTCCCTCCCTTTCTCTCGCTCCTCCCATCACCCCGCCTCTCCTCCACCTCTTTTTTTTTCTCTTTTCTCTGTCTTTCTTTCTCTGGCTTCTCTCTTCTCTCTCTCTTTAGGTTACGATAACAAACTAAATTTTCAACACCTTATGTAAAGTATAATATCTACATAATGCTTGCAATAAAATATTTTACCATTTGTTTTTGTCTCCACTTTTGCACTGCTCGATATCTCATTAATTATTAAAAATATAAAAAATAGTCGAACACCAAAGTTGTACGGTTTTTTGAAGACTATACTCTCAAATTCTTTTTTACTATACAAAGTGTTCTGTTTTAAGGCGTTACACACAGCTTAATTCGTTTTAATGAAACACTCTATATATTTTTAAATATTTTAATTGATTTCTTCTTAGGCTTTACAACCACAATTTGTTTCTGAAATTTCGATGCGACGTTGCCGTTATTTCAATTTTCTTGAAATTTTTTAGTCACAAAAATCCTTTTACCATTTTTTTATTTATTTATTTATTTTTGTTATGAAAAACAAATCACTTAAAATTAATTCTGCTTAATTAAAACAGTAAATTTTTCAAACTCCGGTGGCTTCTGTAAAGTACACTATGAATGATGAGTATCCATTAATATAATTTGATAATTACTATGCTCTGTTTTCATCAGCTGACGTTTAGAAATTTTAAATTCGTGGTACAAAATTAACAATATAGTGTTTAATTGCTGCAAAGAAGCCTAAAGCTTCGTACTATTCACTAAATTGGAAGATCCGATCGTCTTAGTTCATTTTAACTCGTGCGAAATAAACTCATTTCGAACAGGTTGTGGGAAATGCCATGCATACACGCCTAAAAAATTCAACCAGAAATATAATTTCAAACCCATCTCTGGTATATTTCATAGCATTAAAAAATAATAATAATAAAATAAAACACAGTTATCTGTTGTTTCATTATCAGTGAGAGGCATACAATAACAACTTTACTTAATAGCGATTGACAAGTGTAAATTCATGTCCCACGAGGATAAAAATTTGTAGCATTCGCTTTCGTTTTAGGTTAAGGACTGATTTTACGGTTCGTAACGAGCAACCCGTGCAGTCAAAACAGGTACGATTATATATATTCTTATTTTAATTTTATTATTCATATTAATATCACTGCCAAACTGTCAAAAACAGAAAAAAGTTGTATTGGCAGAACTGTCGTCACCTCGAAATGCAATCACACAGATAAATGAAAAAAATTGATTTTGCGAATTTTATTTTTTATGATAAGTTAAAATAAAGATGTGTGTGGACTATTGGACTACAGATAAAGATGCATATATCGCGTGGGTTCGAATCCCACTGAGACACATAACATTTTTGCTCGCTTTTCACATATCAGTTTTGGTAAGTAAAGTGTAATAGTAAATAATAATAACAATACTATATATTTCCAAAATTTCGGATAAATGGTGTGAGCCATTCTTGATTTGATCGATCTCTAAGTTTTTTCTGAAAAATTTGAATGGTAAAAAATAAAGACGGGCTCATAAACCACAGCTATAGAAACTTATTTATTTTGTAAAATTTACAAAATTTACTTGCCAAATTGTGAGACGACGTCATCAATTTTGGTTAGTGTTTCATCATCTACTCGATATTCCTAAAATGCCTGTAAAATTTCACAATAAGCAGTCCATAGTTTCGGAGATTATCGGTCTTATAAAATTTCCACCAGACTGCAGACGACAGACCTCGACGAAAAAATGCACTCTTAGCTTACGCTCTGTCTGAAGCCGGTCCTGATCATTTATTCAAATCGCCGATACGATTTTAAATAGAATGTTCTCAGCGCCATCTTTCGGTAAAGACTGTAATTACCACCGAGACCTACCTAATATTGAATTTTATATTCATCAATTTAAAACTGACGCTGTCGATTTTTAGACCGATAATAAAAACAAAATGACTTCTGTAAAAGCAAAAACCAACTAAATTTAAAATACGGACTCACGTGTATACACTGTACAGTGATCAATATATAGTTACAGCGACCCATCACAGATGGCAGCATAAACTCATTACAACTCAAACCTGAAAAACAATATTAAACGCACATTTGTGAGTCATGTTTCCGTCACAATTTTTTATGTAGACAAGCAAAACAACAATCTAAAAAATGCGTAATTTTGTATTATTAATTTATAGTTTCTTCACGTACTCTAATAGCTTTTCCGCCAAATTCGAACACTTTGATATGCAATCAGCAGCATTGACGCATAACCAACTATTTATAATATGTAGGTAGTAGATACGCCGAATAAAAATTGTAAGTACATTCTAGAACATCAGTACAGAGAGTATGAAAAGAATTAAAAGGAACTTTCGAATTTTCAGGTCACTGTTAATTCAAACTTTAAAGCTGTTCAACAAAAACTGTGTTCTAGTTGGCTTTAGACTTTTAGTTGAGTTTCACAAGCAATAATTTCTACTGAAACATTTTTTATTTTTTATCCAATATACTTTAATATTTTCCGACACCGAAGATCTTTAGAAACGTTATACAGAGTATACATTATTTGTTATTTACATATCTGTCTAATCACAACAAAACGAATTTTGAAAAAAGATAATCGACAGCTGAAAACACTTGACGCAAAGGTGACTTTGATCACGATCATATTTGCTCGGATACGTGTAAAACATTGTCTGTGTATTCTCAAACGACTATCTTGATCTTGAACAAATAATATATGAGTCACGTTAAAGCTGCTTGTTTTATTCTACCTAATAAAATTAACTTCAATGTTTTATTGATTTAGCGACGAATAGTTTGCCATGGCAAAAAATGCATGTGGCTCGAATCGCAATATGGAACAGTAGACCGATTTAATTAAAATGTTCTACATCAAACGTTACCGTTCAAAAAGCTTTCAGGGTATTTTTATGGTTGCAAATTTAAATTGGGACAGATATGCTATCTTTTTATTGATAAAGGTACTGTTGTATGTGACAACCAAATCAATATAACTGGGTGTCAAACTGTGTCACTACACGACTTAAAACTCTGCGTTTATAAATAATTCTGCATCACTGCCACTGATAGCAAAAATATCTAATAAAACAATGGAATTTTATTTTTCACGATTAAATATGGCGGAAAAACAAAATAGAAATAACTACGAAAATATATTTAAGATAAATATTTATTTGCATTTTTTATTAATTTAATCATTTTTGGTTTTCTGCAACCGCTGGTATTTTCCAATGGCGTCTTGAACTATGGCCGCCGCTGTTGCAAGCTTCTCAGGTGTCATAAAGGCCCGCATCATTGTGTCCTTATCCATGCTTGCGAAGGGTGCAAAGGATATTGTACAAAGTGAAGTGAGGGAGCAAATTGCGGTGACGAAAATTCCTCCAACCACGAAAAGAGCAACGCCGCCGATGAGAAAGAACCCCACTTTCGACAAAAAAGTCAAAATGGCTCCAAGTGGCCTCTGGAACAACAACTATTTAAAGAATTGTATCGTACAAACACATTATTGGTTTCACGGATGACTCGACTATAGTTTTCTTGATTAAAAAGAAAATTCACCTGTATAGCAGCTACAGTGGATACTGGTGGATACGACGTATAGTCTTCATATGACGGATACGAGGGATAAGGGTCGTTTTGTAATCCCACATCTTGGTATGTCCTGTGCGGTACGTACGCGTTTGATGCGTCCTGCGGTTTATATACGGGATGAGGTTCCATGGAAGTCGATGACATTGTCACCACATCAGCGGAAAACACGTCCCAAAACGATAACAAAATTAAAAGAAAGAAAACTTTGTACATTTTGAAACGACTAAACGGACACCGCGTTTGCAAAATTCGGTTTATAACTAAGACCGTTTGGACAGAAGCTGGTCCTTTTATAGATTTTTCCTCGAAGGGTGGTTTGGACACAGACAGTTGCTGTTATCACTAGTACTTCCTCTAAATTTTTACCTGCAAATTGTTTCCTCAATTCGGAAAGGTATTCAGGTACTCAGGTATCGGTGCTAAGATTACAAGGTTCCTAAAGTAGTTAGAACAAATACATGGCAACGTTTTGAAAATTCGTTTCACGTTACGTCGAAATGACGTCAGAATAAACCGATTTTTTGACGTGCAACGTCATCGTAATTCCACGTCAAATGAAAATTAGACGCATGACACTTAACCTTTGAAATCTGTGCATTCAATTAAACATGAGAGGTCACAAAATCTAATAGTTCTGTTTAATCAAAACAAGCCGATTTGATAAGAAATTTTTAAAAACTTGGATTTCCTATAATTCGCCTTGAATTTGATGTTTGTTTTTTAATTTGCACAATAGTGATAACGCTTATTATTGCAAATATAAAAAAATGTATCGACCTTTTTATTACAAATTTAATTAAACTGAAAAATCTATGTTATAGATTTTTTTAATCATACTATCAAGAATAACAATAATATCTACAGACAATTGCTCAACAGATTATTATCTAAAATCTGGTAAAATAATCAGATGCTGTCAAACACTTTTAGCAAATCCGTTATAGAACATTTAAATATTGTTTCCTAGAATTGTTACCCTTGTATACCTGCATTAGTCCGTAATCTGGTTATTTTTTTGCGTTATTTTGTTATGAAATATGTATTTTGTAACACGTAGTAATTACCGACAAATCCAGGTCACTGTTTTTTAATATATAAAAATATTTCACAAATTGGAAGATTTTCCCACGGCGTTGCGACACCATGTTCTAATATGGCTACAAAAATACAACATTGAATAGAAACAAACTCAGTGCGACTAAAGCAATTCATAAAATTAAGACCTTGCCGCTTCCTCTGCATGATTATTTAGCATTTCGGTAGTCCATCGATTATTTTTATTACAGCTACCGCTCCACTTGAGCAGTCAGAAATAATAAACGCTGACTACTAACGATCTCTCTATAACACCCATAATGTTCCACTTTATCAGGGGTTAGGTTTCCATGTTTTTTTAACAAATCAATACAAAAATAATAAATCTTACAGCTTGTCGTGACTTACGCAAGAGGTATCAGTTCACCTAAACAATCAAAATATTTGACAAGCAGTACTTGTAAAATTTAGAAATGATAAAAATTCTTTCGAAGATTATTATTATTAAACTGATAGTACGGGTTCCGGTTTAGCATGAAATAAAAACAGTTTGCGTTTCCACTCCTAAATTTTAAATATACAATTTGATAAAATGATTTACTCCAGAGATTCTTAGTTCGCAAATGTCTTACTACACTTGCTCTATTATACTATAATTAAGTGAACAAGTACATTCCCTTACCTACTACAAGCATCTTTATGAAGACGTATGTAGGTGTACAGAAGTTTTTAATTAAAGCCCCTACAACATATACCAAATTTTCCGCGCTTTCGCCCTACTTTTCATTAGATTTTCTTATATACTCTAAATAAATCTCTACCAGTGGTAAATCCGCGGACACCTGGAGGTAATTCATGCTAATGGATGTATTCCACTTTACAGCTGAACATTACATCAAGTGTACTAATCAATTTTCTTTCTGTTTTTCACAAAAACTCGGCCAGCGTTTTCAATATTGACTTAAATTTTTCCAAGATCAAAGCTGGAAAATGTAACAAAGGTGGTTTTTTGTTTAACAGCAACTCTAATTAATACAGAAACATGAAGCTTGGCACGGCTTTCAGCGAATCTGTTGGAACTTTTTATGTGGGAAGAAATATTCTAATTTTAGTGACGGTATCAGACACTTTTGAATTCCTATCAACAAATGAGCTGCGGTGACACCGACTACATTTGCTGCATCCATATTGAAATATTTAGATTTTTCCCTCCAAATCATGGTGAAGGTGGCGACGAACAAGGTGAATGATTTCATCAAGACGTTGAAACAGTGGCCAACCGGCGTCAAGGTTTTGGGATGGGAGAATTCTGGTGGATGTTACATCGTGATTCCACTTGCTTTTGTAGGACTTTTCCAAATATTTTGAATTACACCATTTGAGAGCACTAAAAATCTAAAAGCAGATTTATAAACAGATTAAATTTTATTTTTAACGATTAAAGTTTGGTTAGATCAGAAAAGTTTGATAAATGAAAACTGTTACCTGACTTGGTTAACAGTGCCATTTTATTGTTTTCAAAGACGAGTTAACGTTTGTTTTTAAAAACAAAGCCTGCTAAACTCGTTACGTACACACTAATAAGAAGTTGTTTTCGAAATAAATTCGTATGTAAAATAAAATTCACTGGAAATCGTTTAATATCATTATGATAACATGAATATGATAACCGAAAACCAATCTGAATATTTACAAACACACTGTTATTGTTACTTGTAAGTAAATTTTTACAAGAACTGCAAAATATCCACGAATTGTTTATAAATTGATGGAAAAAAAAGTGACCTCTCGATATAGTTGTAACACTGAGTCAGAATGTTATTGGTAATTTTATTGTAGTTGGAATAATTGCCAATCTACCTACACCAAATGTAGGCTATCTGGGTGTCATAAACACAGTTCTAACAACACTTTCAAGATAACTTCTCTTTAGACATGTACTGACTGTATTTTTTGAACATTCTGGGAAGTGGCAATTGCTAAAATTAAATTTTCTTGGATTGGATTTATCGAGCATAACGCGATGACCTTCTACACAGGTCACTGCTATAAGAATAAGTGGATTATGGTGATGTTAATAGTCAGAAGTTAGCGCAGAGAGCAAATAGTTCTATATTGTTAAAGTTTTGTGAGTTTCGAGGTAAGTTGTTAGTTTTCATACAACGGTAGAAGAAAATGCACGTCATTTCGTTTATTAAAAAAGTGTACAAAAATTCAACGTCATAATAGAAATAATAACATTATCGTCATCTGATAAGATTTTATTAAGTTGCTCCATTAAGTACATCCAATAATGGTTCATTTTAGCTAAGTTATTTCATTTCTAAATAAACATTTACACGTAATGCTTAAGATAAACACTTTAAATTTATCAGTAGATATTGTAGTCAATGTGATACGTAGAAAATCTCAGTTTTTGTAATTACTCTAACGACACTTGAAAATTTTACTGAGGGCTGGAATTCCAAACTGCCGTATTTTCCCCTAGGAACGATTAACCAACCCACAAACATACAATTACTTAAAAATTGTTTAAGGCCACTGCATGTGTGAGTCAGGCGATTATGATCTTAATAAAATATCACATGCGCTTACAATGAGAAAAAAACTTGTCATTTATATGTTTAATTATTTTACCAGTAGTAACGATTAGCGAAATGTTATATAATAATAAAGCGTTGAAAAAACCCAGCACTGACCCGCGTTATCCGAAAAACTGTTTTTATTTGTTATTTTAGATATGAGCAAGTTCTTCTGCAGTGCAGTGCTTTAAAAATAATAAACCACGAAAAATTATTTTAAGAGATTTATTTTTGTCATTTTTACTAAGGACCACCACGCTCGCTTAACCCATGCACAATTTACACCGAAACCACCCACCATCCCCTAAACCACTAATTCCCAAAAAACAACTAAAAATTAAACAAAATTAGGTAATAGTGTGTCGATAATTGGTTAACTTGATCCTAGATTATCCAACCCATTTTGTGCATTAAGTCTACTTTTTTTCAGAAACGCGCCTGCGCAAGATGTTTACCATTCGCGTTTCGTCGCATCAAAATGTTTATATAGCAACAGCAGTTTTACTACTAGTTTGTTGTCTGAGTTGTTCGGCGGGAACAGTTAGCGTCAAAAGACCTTCACCTTCATCAACAACAAATCAAGCAAAAAAGCAAGCAACAGGACCTACAGTAATGGACCCAGCGTTCGCTAATGCCGGTCAGACGGCTGGACTTGAAATTTGGCGAATCGAGGTAAAAAAATGTGAAGAGTCAATTGTTGTCTGCTTTCAGTGTTTTTTCAAACTTCGCTTATTGATTTTATGATAACACACATTTGTCATACGTGTTTATGTTTACGGTAGTTTCCATAAAGAGAAAATGTGGCCCGCATATGTTTTAAATTAAATGCATTTATTACTCGTTGGATGTCACGCAGGCAGTTTTGTTTCCGAATTATCTTGCTATCCTGCAGTCGTGTCTGATAAAATCGTAGATCAATACTTCTCATGATAAAGCTATTTTTAGGAGGGCGCAACTTTTTTAATTTAAAGTATCAAAAGAATCGCGATTATACTAATTGGTTATTAAGTGTATTCAGATGTTCGATCCCACTAACTCGCTGCGCTTTAACGTAGGTATCATAACATATCATTATTCAAAATACGGATTAGGGCTGTAATTGTCGTCAATTTTAATCAGGTGTTCACATGATCAAAAAAGCTTACATCACATTCCGAGAATTTCGTCAAATATATCAATACCTTATCCAATTCGATTGCAAAATTGAAGTACTTGTACTTATGTCAGACTGTCATAAAACAATCACCTTAATTATTATCGGAGCATGATTTTCTTCAACTATAAAAGTCCCTTCGATAATGACGTTTGCAAAAATAGACTCGCGTTTATTGCTTCCAGGAATAATTGCCAGTGAAATAAAATTGTTTGCAAACATTTCAAAATGTATTTTAAGACACGACGAAGATGAAACTCAGATAAATTCCAATTTAGTCACGTTTTTTTTGGAACGGTTCGGTACTTATTTTTAGTTGTTGGTAATCCTGTTTTCACATAGGGGTTGGATTCAGGATAAAGCATTGATTTTTATTATTGCGTAACGTGTCCTCGAAACCGCGGTAATAAGGTAATTAACGTTATCATTTCCCTCTGATAAAAGTAGGAGACCCACTTATCAGCAGGAATTTGTTGGAACACTGATACTGCATTTAAATTAACTAATTGTGTAAAATGAAAATGAAAAAAATATTGATCGGGAAGTTCCATAAATCAAACACAAACATTCTACAGAATAATTAAAAATAGAAACAGTAGTTTACAACCATAAGGTACCGATCAGTTTAAATATAGTCGAGTCGAATGGAAATAAATTAACTTTCGTAGGATTGCATTTGACGAGTCTTTGTAACCGGTTATTACTTGCTTGCGCTGAAAACCTGTGTTAACACAATCTTTCAACAGGCTGTTTTTTAAGAAAAACTATTGCTATCCTGTAGTTTAAAGTAAACAGATAAATATGTCAGCATTAACCGAACGGTTCCTCGTTATTTTAATGATTTGTGTTAATTTTTACCTAGTAAAAAACAACTTTAAAATTAGATTGTCTTCAAATTTAAGAACAAAAGCGAGTCAAGTCAGCGATGAAGGTGAGATTCGTCGATGAATCATTACAGAAGGCCAAATTACATAACACAACATAACAAAACAGTTTCCTCAAAATTAGCAATTTATGGCGTTTTTTTCGAAAAAAATTATACCATATTCATAATTTCGAAAACTAGTTAAATGCAAATTTAAAACCAATTTAATTTGTTTGTGTAACGTCACAGGTTTTCCCTATTGAATAGTCGTAGTTGAGGTTAAATGTGTACTTCTGTGTATCGAATTGGTCACGTTTATATACCTTTTGTGGTTGCCACTGTTTTGTTACCTATTTATTCCAAAAGTGAAACCGGATTTTACTCGTTGTTCATTCATAAATTTCAATTCCGTTTCATAGTTATAATACAAGGGACACAAGCGACGCCGGAATGTGCAAAAGATGTAACAGGGGCGCATATCAACCTGAAACCGGTCCAACATGAGGGTTAAGTTGAATGTACCCACCTTACAGGTGACCCTGAAAAATGTACTTAAATATGACGTTGCATTCGGCTGTCGGCACTTTATGACGTTGGAGTAACGTGTGCAAATGTCATAAAATAAAAATCGTTCGATACTGTCGTCAGGAATAACCGCGTTTTTTGATTTTTAACATAATAAAATTTAATAACAATGATAAATGCTTAAATAACGTTATTATCGTGGTAATATTTTTAAATTATTCATAAACAAGTCATCCATTTTCTGACCTAAAATTAAAAAATTGGTGCGGAAAATATCGTAAAAAAATTACAGAGTACGATTTTAAATCCACTGATAGAATACATTTATTTTCAAAATTAATTAATTAAAATGGCTAAAATAAGAATCAAAACGAGTTTGTTTGATAAAATTTCGGAATGCAAATGGGAAAGTTGTTCCACCGTCTAATCTGTTCAGATAGTTTATCATTGTGTCCTTGAAGCTTCTCGTTGTAACAAGTGTAACGAATAATGAGTAGGTTACCACATTCAAGCATCGCACTTGTAGTACCTGAACAACTTGAATGTCTCAATTGTGAAAGTCAAAAATTAATCAAGGAAACATTAGTACGAAACATGCAATGACATATAACAGTTCTGGCACATATTTTAATATACACTGTCAAATGATGACAGTCTAACACAGAAGGAGATATAGGCTTATCAGAAATTTGGTTATGGAACAAGGTTTCAAGGCATATATACCTCGATAACAACTATGTTGTTTTTCGTGTGATAAAAAGGGTTCACTTATCAACAGCAGTGTGGAGACGTAGTTTTTGCTTTAAAAAACGAGTTAAACGTTATTATTCGACTTACAATTAGATATATTCGTTAACGTCAATCTGCTATCAACGTTATTGATCTCAAAGTTAAATTATGCTTACAAATGATTCATATAATAAACATCCAGATTTTATCTACTTGACAGTGAGTACTTTGTCAAACCAGTGATCATACTGACAAGTCAGATATTAATTACGGGAGATTTTATGACTCCAAATTTTTGCAGCGAATAATAAGAGACTCAAAATCTCATTAATATCTTGTTATCGTAGAATTATCTACAATGTGGCTCCGTTTCTAATTGAAATAATCATGTTATTTATGGAATTAGTTATATCATGATCATCGGCCATTAATCTGCGATAATTCTCACAACCCAGGTTTTAATCCTGATCTAAAATTAAATAGTTACAATCTCTGGTACAGCTAGAGCGATAGTTTACAATTTCTAATATTAACTCATTGTGTGGTATGTTCTGAGGACAGGTACACGATCTTCTCGGACTAACCCTACTTTGCTATTTTTTTAAGTCATAATTAAACAATGGAGTGTACGTGGATCTATTTTAGGTCTGTTCTTCTTCTTACTGTTTATTAATGATATCGTGACGCAACTGACCGTGACTAGCTTTTGTTTGCGGATGATTTGAAAATATATAAATATGCATCTATAACAATATCAACAGAATTAGTGCCGGGCGTACAGAAAATCCATTACATATCGTTTAACGATGTGCCCCCTCTGAATACCTGTACAGCTATTTATAAACTGTAGTTATTTTAATATTTTTTATTGGAGTGGTCTCTGTACACGAGTAATTTTATATATTCCACACTATGACACCCACTTGTACTGGCTTCTCAAAAGTCAAAGGTTTCCAAACTGTTCGAAAATGCTAGTAACTTGCATCAATATAATATTAATTTAAGTTTTAACTTTTCACCTACATCAAATGCCAAAGCTATTGATCTACTAGATACAATTAAGTCTGACATTATGCTGCTAGCCACTTTTGTGTTTTTTTGAGTATTTTTAACTAGGATTATTTTTTCATGAAAACTCAACTGCCGCAAAAATATACATCTGGATTTTTATTTTAGAATTTATTTTCGATCGTTACCGCAGTTATTTTCGTTATTATTTCTACTGTTTCGATTTACTCTTTGTGTCGCTTTATTGATTTCTTATCTTGTAGTGAACGCTCCCCTAGTTTTGGCTCAATGCCACAATCATGTTTTTTCACACATAATTAGGTCAACTTTGAATTATGACTGTCTTAGTCGCAAACTAACTAAACACTTAAGCTCTAATACTCTATTCAATAATGTATATGCTTATATACATATTTATAGCGTTTAGGGTTTATGACAATCAATGTTAACATAGGTATCTTCTTTTTTTTTAGAACTTCAAACCAGTCAAGTTTCCACAGAACGACTATGGTAAATTTTACAGCGGCGATTCCTACATCATCTTGAACGTGAGTTTCAATTTCGCCTTTTAGATTCTTCCTAACGCGTAATTTTCAGACGAAAGTCAACAAAAGAGGCGAAAAAACCTGGGATATTCACTACTGGCTAGGCAAGGAAACTACTCAAGTAAGCAAAGCATGTTTTTCTTGTCCTCGTTCTTTAACGAACTCTATCGATCCATAGGACGAGTCTGGTTCGGCCGCTATTTTTGCCGTTCAACTCGATGACCATCTTGGTGGAGTCCCATTACAGTATCGCGAAACACAAGAACATGAGTCACAATTATTCCTATCGTATTTCAAAACCGGCATCAGGTACCTTCCTGGCGGCAAATCTTCCGGTTTCACCCACGTCGATCGTAACGCTTTCGAAAAACGACTCTTCCAAGTTAAGGGATCAAGGAACATCCGCGTCAAACAAGTGGATGCTTCGATTTCGTCGATGAACAAAGGTGACTGCTTCATTCTTGATGTGGGTAAAGACATCTACGTGTACGTTGGAACGAAGAGCAAGAGGGTCGAACGTCTTAAGGCCATCTCCGCTGCGAACCAAATCCGAGATCAAGATCATGCCGGAAAATCGAAAGTGCACATCATAGGTAACGATTCTCAAGATTAAGGTTATTTCGACTAAACGTTTGGTTTTTAGATGAGTATAGCCCCGACCATGACTTCGCTGATTTCTTCAGTGCTCTTGGAAGCGGCAGCGCTTCGGCCGTTCCTGATGAGTCAGCGGGAGGAGATGACGCACACTTCGAACAGAGTCAAGAACGCACTGTGGCTTTGTACCGCGTTTCAGACGCCAGCGGCAGCTTAAAGATCGACAAGGTTGCAGAAAAACCTCTGCAGCAATCAGTACTAGACGGTAACGACTGCTTCATCCTCGACACTACCGACTCCAACATTTTCGTCTGGGTCGGCAAAAAATGTACCCAGAAAGAGAAACAAGAGGCTATGGTTAAGGGACAAAACTTCCTCACTAGTCAAAAATATCCGGCTTGGACGCAAGTTCAAAGAATTGTCGAAGGCGCTGAACCGACTGCCTTCACACAGTACTTCCAATCTTGGAGAAGCAGAAACGAACTCCATACGCGCCTTATCAGGTCTCCCAGCACCGAGAAATACAACTCCTTTGAACCACGTTTGTTCCATGCCGAAATCAAGGCGCGAGGTGCCGTATTCGATGTTGAAGAAATCATCGACTTTGAACAGAAAGACCTTAATGAAGACGACGTCATGCTGCTGGATATTGGCAAAGAGCTCTTTGTTTGGATCGGGAATGGGGCCAGCGTTAAGGAAAAGGCCAAGGCGAACGACCTTGCTAAGGTATGTCGTGGTACCAATTTTACGGTTGCGGTTTCATTACGTTGTTACAGATGCACTTGAAGAAATACAACCGAGAGGACACACCCATCACTTCTATGGCCCAAGGTCATGAACCGGAAAGTTTTACATCTTTATTCTCTGAGTGGAATCCTGAGTTCTGGGAGACACTCGAGTCCTACGATGATATCAAGGCCAAAATTGAAGAGGAAAATAACGCCCTTAACCTTTAATTACTTAGCACACACTGCCTTTTAAACGGAAGGGTCACAAACGTTGTGTAAACAAGCAGGTCAGCGTAAAAGTTTTTGTGGAATGGCAGTAGTTGTTTGGCGACCCTTGTGAGCTTTGTAACAATTCTATTTGTATACCAAAAATTTATGAAAATATAATTAACTGTTGTTACTTCGAGTCTTTCAATTCTAGAATATAAAAACGTACTCGGATATCATGCGATTTTCCACTACCTATGGCTAGTATCATGTTTCCAAGTGTGCGCATGCGTCTTGTCCCGATACGCGCCAAATTTAAAGCATGATTTTTTACCAACCAATTCAGAGACACTTATCTCTGCCACTTAGCCAACATTTGCTCATAATTAATGTAATAAAACTATAATACCTGTGTGTTTAACTGTTTATTCATAGTCGCTATAAAATTAATAAGATATTGTAATGATATCACTTTTAGGAACAATTTTATGGTGTAGATCGATTATAATAAACAAATGCATAATAATAAAAAAACAAGTCCAACTTGAACACAACATACCCACGATTAACATTCCCAAATATAAAAATATGTCTATCGATATACAACTTCTATAGAATCGAAGAAGGTGAAACACAAGAGTGAAGATAGAACTTGGAAGGTGCGATTTAGTGAAAAACCGAAACAATTTAGTACTGATATTAAATATTTTGATCACAAATGTCACACATAAAGAGCAGAGGCACAAAAACCACGAAAATACTTAGATTAACCGAGCCGCCGTTGCGCATTATTTGATAAATTTGCTCTTTGTAAATGAAAAATTCCCGCGTATGTATGTAATTTAATATACTATAAATATATACATTATATAAAAAAATATCTTCAGTCAGTGTATTCCCTAACATCAATTACCTACTAGATTATAAAATGGCGTATAAAATCGATGTCTAAAAACAGCTCCGTATCTCACACTGGATTTGCTTCGCCAGAAAGATAAGTTAAAAATGTTTTGCATAATTCAAATCCTACAAAGCAAGCGGCATTCGCCGGAAAAGCTCTTAACAACACCGGAGTGATTCCTTTATACAAAGCCGCCGGTCCTTCAACCTTCATAAGAGTCCTGAAAACGTCACGAATGCCGTTTGGATACGTGCCTTCGGGTGCTAAAATCCTCAAAGATAGCAAACACCAAAATCGACCAATCGTACTAACCTGTCTGCAAGCGACTTTTTAAAACATCCGGGGGCATACCAACGGCCCAATTCGCAATCCCTGCGGCACCTCCCGCGAATATCGTCCCTAGAATACTCGGCGAATTTTTACCTCCATCTGTGACATAGTCTTTAATCGCCTCGTACGTCAAGAAGTACATCCCACTAGCTGGTATATCTAAAAGCAATGTAAAGGTGTCAAAACGTCAAACCTTTCCTAGTCAATTTTTCTTCGGGTGTAGATAAGCGGATGATAAAGAAAGGAAACAAGCGGGGGAGGACTTCCTGGTCTCTATCTGTCCGAAATATGCTTCCACTGTAGCAGTCGCCGCAGCAAAATGTTCTTGTACTTAAGTCTGTCAGTGCTAGTGCAATCCGTTTTGGTAAGTATGTACTCTATATAGAAATTTGTTCTAAAAATGTGACTTCAGGCGTTACAAATATGGGAAAATAATAGAAACTGTCCCTTAACATGCACTTGCCAATTAGAACACTTAACCGAAACCGCCATCTACCGATTTATACAAAATAAGAAAAATAATCAGAACGTGAACGAATCCAGTTCTGTCGAATTTAACGAGGTAAGTTAGAATAAGCATTTTTAACCCAATTCACCCTCGAATCGCTTTCTTCAGGTGCTGTACGAAGACAATTTCGAGTCAGAACTAACAGAAGACAAGCAAATCGTCCGTTCTGCCATGTGCATTTTGCGCAAGAACGTCGAACCCGCAGAATTAATCCAAACTTTACCCGAAGACATCGAAATAGTAACTTTAATTCAAGGATACGACATAGGTAGTAAAACAGTGAAATTTAGTTATTTAACTAAGTTCAGAAACCTTCTCAGTTTAGAACTGTTAGGTCCAAATTTATTTAACCGAATGACCAACAGTAGCTTAATTTGCGAAATCGATATGCCGCTCCCTAACCTAAAATTTCTGAACCTAGAAAACATTGTTATAAAAAATTCAAAAGTGCAGATTCAGAATTTCGTTAAAGAATTTAGTAAAACGGAACAGACGTTTGAGTATGTACAAAAGATCGACTCCAACTTGCATCCTCTGACGATGGTACAGCAGGGTACAAACGACGAGATCTTGCCTTACGAAAAGTATAAAGAACAAGATAACGAACACAAAATACCTTTGTTTATTGGTTTTAAAAATTTACATTTGCTTAGAGTGACGCACTGTGAGCTCAATAATGTGCACTGGGCTATGTTTGACGGTTTAAACAGTCTACAAATTTTAATTTTGGATAACAATAACCTAAAATTCATACCACCGTTTGCTTTTTATGGTGCGCCGAATTTGAAAACATTGTCGCTAGCGCACAATAATTTGTTAGACATACAAATAACGGATTTGGCCGGTCTTTTAGAACTAGAGTACTTGGACCTTTCGTACAACAACTTTTCGCAACTATCAGAACTGTCATTACCGCCTTTTCCAAAATTAAAACTAGCCGATTTTGGGAATAATCCGATCACTGTGATATTTCCTAACACTTTTGAGGTTATGAATACCACTGATTCACTTATAATCGGTAGCAAAGACGTTAATTTATCACTCTTGACGAACTCATTCATAGGCTTAAATCTACTAAAAGCTCTAACATTAAATAATTTAAACATAAAGTTACTAACGAGAGATTTGTTTGTCGGAATGCCAAATTTAAACGAACTAACGCTAACTGGTACTATCACGAAAATTGAATTTGACACATTTTTAGACGTCCATAAGTTGCAAAAATTGATTTTAAGCAATTGTAACATAAGGAACATATCCATGGACGCTTTTATCGGTTTAGAAAATCTAGAAATTTTAGATTTGTCTAAAAACCAGTTAGAACAATTACCACCCGCAGTTTTCGATCAGTTAATTAATATTAAAGAAATATACTTGAATAATAACAAACTGACTAAACTACCTCGTGAAATTTTTTCGAAAATTCACGTCAAAATGATTCGCTTGAACGAAAATCCGTGGCACTGTTCGTGCGACATGAGCGACTGGAAACCCATCATCATCAACCGAATTAAACAAAAAATTGTCAAAGCGTGCGATTTTAGTCACGACAAAGGCATAGGGTGCGTTCAAAGTTTCACATTTAAGTATATCTACGAAAATAAAGTTGCTCCGAAGTGCGCAGAACCTAAAGAATATACCAACTGGAGCGTCTTTCACATAATGAGGCGGCTACTTAAGTGTCCAGAATATAAACCCAAGTTGAAGAAGCACGTGAAAAAGGTATACGAACATACAAAAACGTCAAATATAACCGAACACAACAAAATATCGAAAGCTGATTTGTTACGTAACAAAATGATAAAACACGGCGCCCATTTCAATAACTCCGTGAACAACAACGTAAATAATGACTTAAACGCTTTGTATCTGACACCTCGGTATCAAACTGATAACCAAAAATATGTGAAAAGTAAAGTACGCAAGGTAAAAAAACACCGGAAATATTTCCAAATGGACAACAATATTGCACTTGTTTAAGTGAGTTTGAGGAATATTTTTAATGTTATTAAGTAAGGTTATAGCCCACACGATTGACCTAGGCATTCAGGTCTGGCCTTATTATTAAACGTTGTACTAATCTTTTGGTGCAATATATTAAACATTGTATTTCTTTTATGTACATTTTTCTATTTTGTGTAAAAAAATAAATAAAACGTTTTTTTTTAGTTGTGTTTCTGTAATGACTGCATATTTTAAGTTATGTCACAATGACGATGAAATTTCGACCGTATGCATATGACAAATAAGGACAATAATGTTCAATTTGGTCAACCTACCTCTAAGAAGTGTAGCCCCTGAGCCCCTATATATACTTCTGATCCCTCCCTCTTTGTACAATTTCTTAGCACAGTCTACAGGCCCATTGTAGAGCTTCGGTCCCGCCGATCCTTGTTGAATTTGTAACAAACATTTAATACGTTCTCCGGGAGCCATAACAACGGTTGTAAAAATTCCTGAGAAGGCACCAGCCACAAAATAATCTAAATAACTATATTGTTTGCCGGCTCCTGGCCCAAACATTTGTTTTCCTAGTCCATAACCCATAAAAGAAATGGCAAAAATGGGTGCAACCCCCACTAACGGTGCCCCCATACCCTTATACAACCCCCTAACTCCTTCATTCCTTATAGTAGTCTTAAAACAATCTAGAGTGCCTGAATATAAAGGTTTTTCCCCAGGCTTAGGCACAGGCATGGTTTGTAAACGAACCTAATACATAACATAAACATATGGGATGCACAATATTGTACCTTACCTTAATGGTGTCAAGGGGGTGGCCAACCACCACGGTACAAATACCGCCGAAACCACCACAAATAAAATATTGAAAAGGGCCCATCTCCGCCATTTCTCCAGACTAAATCGTTCACTTAACTCCAATCAAACCAATTAAAACGTGAAAATAAATAAGTGTATAACCTCAAATTTCAATGTCACCGTTAAATCTGGCAAATTTAGGCATTCAGTCCAGTAATACCACAACCATTTACATACTTACTCACATAATGTGCGAAAATATTTAAAATATGTATAATTTTAAACTATCCCTGGACCTTGGATTGTGATAAAATTTACCGTCACCTTGTCATCGTCTCGAAAGTCCACTTTCTTCGCAATGTGTGTAATGCAGCGCATGCGCCTTGTTTCAAACGCCCCCTCCGAAAACAACGCTCCGCCCCTGCTCCGTTTCAATTGGTCGGCTTTATTTTGTTTATCCGTCAAATATCAAAAACATAACCGCACTTTCGAGCGCGAAACAAAATTTTTTATTTTAACTAGTCTAACTACAAAATGTCTTCAGATCTTAAACGGAAACTAAGCACGGAAAGCTCGGACGAGCGCAACAAAAAAAGGAGCGTGCAGATTTCGGAAGAAAAGATTGCGAAGTTGGTTAATGCGGTGCTCGAAGGACCTCTAGGAAATCTAGTGATAATTTTGCAAGACGAGGGAGAAAACCCTTACGTGACACTACAAAACGCGTTGGCGTATTTAAATATAAGTTTGACGGTCACGAGAGACGATACTGACAGGTTTTAATTGGTTTGTACATATTATAGTGACTGTTTGATGTTTTTAGAGAAAATTTTGATCTGAGAATTAACGGAGTTGAATATGCTAGAGGTTCACATCAGAATGTCCAACTCGCAAAACGGGCTCTCGCTGAACAAACCCTGGAAAAACTGAGAGATGTTTGTTTTTTCATAGAAAAGGTAAATTGGGTTTAGTTTCATCATATTTACTATTTATTATTTGTTTAGAAGGGTTGTTACGTAAACGTAACCAAAGAAAATCTACAAGCATCGACAAGTAGTGTGGGTACTCAACAAAGTCTGAGTAATGTGGACAGCATTGCTCAGAAGATTATGATGAAAATGGGCTGGACTGGTGGTGGCCTTGGTGCCCATGGCCAAGGCACTAAAGACTCCGTCATACTATGTGAAAACATAAACCGACAAGGTCTTGGGACCACAAACATTACAAAAGAAATTACAAAAATTCTTGACAATTTTTCAAAGTCTTCGGACTTGCTCACTTTGGTTTTTAACTCAGACTTTACCAAAGAAGAACGGGCTTTAATACATCGGTAATTCACCCGAGTGTGTTTGTAGTTACAATGCGGTTGTTTTTAGGATCGCCAGAAAGTACAATTTAAAGTCGAAAAGCACGGGGTCTGAGTCGAGAAAGCTGTCAGTTTCTAAAAAAATAACAAGGATTGATATCGTCCGAGAGTTACTCAAAATAGGGGGTGAAGACGGCTTGTACAAGTTACACATACCCAAGAATTTTGAGAATTTGTGGTTTTAAAACGAACCAATTGTTGATTGTGTTGTGGAAAAGCGGAGTTCAACTGAATAAAATCTATTTAATTAAAAATTGTATAATATTTTTTTTGTCAAACTGGAATGTATTTTGTGTATATTTTGAATAAAAAACAATCAAGTAGCTTGGATTGAATACCTTGCGCACTGTCGCCAATCCTGGTCCCGAAAAACGAAAAACCCCAAAACCGAACTGTTCGTGTCAAATGTCAACCGTGTCAAAACCTAAACACAAAAAGGAATAACTACAAAATTATGGAATATTCGGACTCGTAAGTACCTTTTACCCCCTTTAATCGTTCTAACTTAATTATAATTGCAGAGAATGTAACGGTGAAACCTTAGACAAGATTTTAATGTACAAATGGCTCGACATAACCTCAGAATTCAAAGATGCGGTAACAGGTATAAATTAATACAGTTGTGTTTTAATTGTGGGTACAATTTCTGCTGCACAGGTTTAGACATGGGAGAACTCTTACACGATAATTTATTCGGTCTTTTTGAAGCTATGTCTGCGATAGAAATGATGGACCCAAAAATGGATGCAGGCATGATCTGCAACCGTGGAGCCAGAAAAGCCAAAACGTTGTCTCAAACCTTAGAGGTAAAGCACCCAAAAAACGAAAATTCGCACTTCTTTATTAATGTTTCTAGGAGGGTATTTTGAAGCTAGATAACTTCAGATATGATGAAATGATCGGGATTATTGATACTACATTGGCTTGTATTGTGTCTTGGTTAGAAGGTCATTCTTTGGCGCAGACGGTTTTTACTAATTTATATTTGCACAAACCATACAGTATAGAAGACAAAACAATGAAAGCGTTTTGTCTAATAGTGTATAAATTGTTAGAAATTATCAAAGATTTTGTACACAAGTAAGTTTTATTAATTATTTATTTATTTATTTATTTATTTTGGTTTTAATTGTTGTTGTTGTTAGAGCTATGGTTTATGAAGAAGAAGACTTCCAACCAATGCAATATGGTTATCATTTAAATCCGGACATATCAGAACAGAGAATTATTGGAATGTTACGCGAAGCGGAAGAGGAGTTGCATAGAAAAATTAGGTCCAGACAGTCAGCAGTGAGTTAATACCAACCTAATTTATCTTTTTCATTCCCATGCAAAACTAAATATTCCTTGTGTGTTTCTAGAACGAAATTCAAGCAATTCAAGCTGTTCATGCAAGAATCAAGTTCACCAGAGTCTTCTATCAAGCGTTGACTATTATGAGACGCGAGGAACAAACTCCTGCTATTACAGACTGCCAGCGACTTTTAATGACTGCTTGTGATATGTTAAATATAATGAGGGACACTGTACACTTAGGAATACAAGCAGGTTATAAACGTTTGTGTTTTTGTCAGTTGATAAAACTGCGCTTTAATAGGTGACAATGAACTGATACCAGGATTTGAACCTCTCATTAATCAGAGATTGCTACCACCAACTTTTCCCAGGTATACGAAAATTAAGCCACGCGCTGAAGCACTGGCCTATTTTTCAGATATGATTGACAGATTTAAAACAATTACTAAAATACAATCTATAACTTCCTTACATCAGGTTTTAGTACGTAACCACCCAGTTTGTATTCTTCTCATGGTGATGATTTAATTTTAGGATTTTTTCATTGACTTTAGCAAAAGCAGTCCGTGTTTGTTGTCAAGATCCGCTCTACAATTACTTTACCAAGGTATGTAGTTTTGACAAAAAACAACAATAATGACGCTTTTATTGTCAGGCACAAATCCATGCACGTTGCGCGACATTTTAAAAGAAGCTGTGAAAACCTTCATATGTCCACCAGCCTTAGTGTCAAAATCAATTCTGTCAAATCAGCAAGTACGCCATTTTGTTTCATTACAATACAAAAAGAATATATCTCGGTTGGCTTTGAAACGTCATTTGAATGTGTCAAGGACATAAAACGTGAAGTATTCGTTGCAAACACGTTGGAATGACGTTCCAAGCCAACCGAGACGCGTTTTATGACACGAAAATACTTTAGGCAAAAAAATACGTGGAGTCCTTTTTGGCACATTGTACTAGACCCTTCGCCAGTTTTTTACAACTATGCGGTCACAATCGCGCACGACAAAGAGACAAGTTGGCCCACCTTTTGGAAGAATTTACGAACTTACAGGATGAGGTAATCACACTTTAAAGCTTGATTGTTTGAAAATTTTTTTGTTTTGAGGCGGAGAGAGTTGATGCGTATTTACACAACATATCTGTGAATTCGACGTCCCGTCCGCATTTGGCTTGTTTTGGAACGTGGATCCTATATCACACGTTAAAAATCATGATTATGTACTTATTAGCCGGTTTTGAATTGGAATTGTACAGTAGACACGAATTATATTATATATATTGGTAAATTGGTGTGAAAAGTACAAGAATGGATTGTCAAAGGTGACTTGTTTTAGGTACTTGTATGAGTTTTTGTATGGTTGGTTAGTGTCTGCTTTGTCGCGAGCCGATAGTTTTCTAGTGGAGAATGAATTAATAAACGAGTTACAAAAATCAAAAAATCCTTCAAAAAAGAAACCAAAGCATAAAAGAAAACCGAGACCTTATAATAAAGACATAGTTTATTATCAAGCGCTGCAAAATATGTGTGGAGGATATTATAAAGTAGGTACATTATATTATACATATTTGTATTTAATGGTAGCCAGAAAAATGGAGACCAGTTGGTAATAAATACAATTTTCTTAATTATTCGAGGACAATCAGTGACGCGAAAATTAACTAATTTTTGATAACATTTTAGGCATTAATGGGTTTTCGGTTGGATGGAAAATTGACAATGCCTCACCCCCAATTTGACAGTGAACAAGTTCGGTACGAACATCGTTTTGCCCCATTCCAGAATTTGTTGACTCCGCCTCCTGTCCAGTACTCCGAATTTAGGGAAATGACGTCCGTCGAGCGGCTGCAGCAGCCCGTAGACAGCATATACTTTTACATAACAGGTTGCAAACACTTCCATCAAGCCCGCCAACTTTTAGAAAATATCCAATCAGATGGTGAAATTAGTGATTTGTTGAAAATTTCAAAAACCAACTTTATCGTACTAAAACTCTTAGCCGGAGGACACAAAAAAGATTCGGTTACACCCCCTGAATTTGATTTTTCAGTAAACAGATATTTTCCTATAATAAAGTTACTCTGAGTGATATAATTTAAATCTATTGGTTTTCGTTGTATGTCGATTTTGTGTATATATTCAAATTGTAAGAAGTTAAGTAGAGTGATAAAGTTTTATCGTGCAAGTGCAATTTTAAAGATTTTCTTTATTATTTTACCGATTTATTAGTTAAATAGATATTTGTGTGTATAAGTGGGTTTGCTTACACTGTGATTAAAAAACTAATTGATTTGTAATGTTGAATGTTTATTAATTAAATGTAGGTTTGTAAGCGCTGGCGTTTTTGTGGCAACAATTTTAATAAATTTGGGTAACATATGGGTTTTTTATTGCACACGATTTCCGAATAATACCGGGAATTACTCCTACGCAGGACGATAACGTGTGATTATAAAGATAAATTTCCTCATCCCTGAAATTATCCGCACTCTTTTACTTATTATAGTGAGTTCTTCTACATCAACGCTGTTCTAAATTTTGAAAATCCAGAAATGTTCCGGAATCTGTGCTTTTTGATGCTAAAACAGCAAAATTAGTAAGTACTTACTCTACTTTTTTAATCCTCGCAATTGATTTTTCCTTTGAATCGTGCTGAAACTTCATAGTGCCCTTGGCCCTAAACTGTGTTTACAATGGTGCTTCTTTCTCAAACCGTTCTATTTCTGGCCTACTTCTCCCGAACTTTAATTTCCGGTGAACTCTCGATGGTGTAAACCAGAAACCACGAAATCCTTCAAAGGCTGTCTCCTACTCCCACTGCGAAAACTGGACCGTAAACAATGTTCTTAAGCTAGTAATCAACGCTCCTAATCCATGTCCTGCTGACTTATTGCGTTTCCGACCTCCTGGAGAGGTTCCACTGTCCCTTTTCCTTCTTCTTTTTTCTGCACGCTTTTTGTACGTGTTCTACTTCTTGTAGTAACTAATTTTTTCTTCACATCCCACACGAAGTGACTTACAATTAATTATCAAATTAAACTAGGTTGTTTCTCTGGATTACGAATTCGTGTTATTTTTGCTTTAAATATATCTGCCCCCATCGATTTTTCCGAATTCTAAAAATACACCCTAAAGACACACTAAAACTACATTTTTTGTTATCGACTATTATTATTTTTAAATGTTTCAATGAAAAAGAAAAAACTTTGTAAAATTGTATTCATATATTTATGTAAAAGTTCTTTTTACATAAAACAAAAACAAAAGTCTATTGGAGAAACTGTCACTTTCATGTTTTTTTCCACGTTTCATGACCTCTAGAGTACGAAAAAAGTGGTCTCCCGTTTCCGTCCGTCCGTCTGTCTAAAATTCGCAAAATCAAATCTTATATTTTTTCGAAAAATCGGGTTTATTTAGCTTCCCCAAATTTTTTGACACCACAATTTTTCCATTTTTCAATGTTTCGGTTTCATGATTTTTCGTTTCTTCAACTATAATTAATTTTTCAATTTTTCGGTTTTTCATTTTTCGATTTTTCAGTTCTTTAAATTCTTGATTTTCATGTTTCATTTTCCGGTTTTTTAATTTTCATTTTTTCATTTAGTTTATGTTTGCGATGTTTCTTTCGATTTTAACATTTTTCGTTTATTCAGTTTTTCAAAATTTACATCTTTGATTTTTAATTCCTCAGTTTTCTAATTTTAAAATTTTTCTATTTTGCAATTTTTGGACTTCTCGATTTTTTAACATTTAGTTTTTTCGAGTTTGCACTTTTTCGATTTAAGTTTCTTAACTTTTGATCTTTCGATTTTCCAATTTTTCAAGTTCGTGATTTTCAGTTTTTGGATTTTTCAAAGTTTTCATTTTAGAGGTTTTCGTTTTTTCATTTTTGATTTTTCAATGCAACAATTTTGCAATTTTTCAATTTTTTTTTATTCGAAAATCGAGAAACTAAAAAATGGAAAATACTGAAAAAACGGAAAATTGCATAATCAAAAAAGTGGAAAATCGAAAAATTGCAAATCCAAGAATTTTAAAATCGTCCCAAAAGTGTAATACTGAAAGATCGAAAAATTAAAAATCGGAAAATTCCAAAGATGGTTTGATTGATTTTTCGGTTTTGCAATTTTTCGAGTTTTGAAATGTTGATTTTTTGATTTTTAAAATTTTCAGTCGATGTTCCAATTTTTAAGTTCTCCAGTTTTGCAATTTTTGGATTTCTCGATTTTCCGATTTCTTTAATTTCCAATATTTCGGTTTTATAATATTTAGTTGTTTCGATTTTGCATTTTTTCGATTTTTAAGTGTCTTAATTTTTGGTCTTTCAATTTTTCGTTTCTTCAATTTTTCAAGTTCTTAATTTTCATTTTTGATTTTTCAATTCTACAATTTTTCCATTTTTTGATATGAAAAGTTCAAAAATCGAAAAACTAAAAAATTTGAAAAAACCGGAAAAAAGCAACAATTGCAAAATCAAAAAAGTCGTAAATCAAAAAAATTGTAAATCGAAGAACTAAAGAATCGAAAATTGAAAAGAAGAAAAAACGAATCGAAATATTATAACATCGTTAAAATTGTAAAGTCGAAAAATTGAAAAATAAAAAATCGGAAAACTGAATAATGGAAAAATTCTAAAAATGCTTTGATTGCTCGATTTTTCGGTTTTTCTATTTTTCCAGTTTTCAAATGTCGATTTTTTTTATTTTTTTGACATTCAGTTTTTCATTTCTTTTAATTTTAAAATTTTTCAATTTTTAACTTTTCAATTTTGGCCTATTTCGATTTCTCAATTTTTCGATTTCTTGTTCATTTCGGTTTTCTGATTTTTCGACTTTCCGATTTTCCATTTTTCCGATGTACCGATTTTTCAATTCTTCGATTTCCCAGTTTCTGAATTTCTCCTTTCCCTCGTAATATTGAAAAATTAGAAAAATTGCAAATCAAAAATTCAAGAAACGAAAAATCGAAAAATCCAAAAATTCAAAAACCACAAAATTGAACAAAAAAGAAAATAAAAAACGGAAACGAAAAATTGCAAAACGAGAAACTGAAAAACAAAAAATTGAAACATCGAAAATCTGAAAAATTAAAAATTGAAAACCCGTGAAATCGCAGATCGAAAATTGACATCCAAAAGTTGGAAACCCCAAAAAACAAAAAATTTTGATATTAAAGAAAATAGAAAACCGAAACGGACAACTGCAAAACGAAAATTTGAAGAAATGAAAAATTTAAGAATCGTCAAAACTGTACATTCGAAAAACTGTAATGCTGAAAGTTCGAAAAATTGAAAAATGGAAAAATTCGAAAGATGCTTCGATTGCTCGATTTTTCGACTTCTCGGGTTGGATTTTTGATTTTTTCAATTTTTCGAGTTTTAAAATTAATAATTTTTCGATTTAAAATTTTTTTTCTTTTTCGATTTTTTTTTATTTTGAGTTTTTCAATTTTTTGACTTTTCGATTTTAATTTTTCATTTTCCCGATCATTTTCTCAATGTTACATCACAATTTTTCGTTTTTTCAGTTCGTTTCTTTTCGACATTTCTTCCGATTTTATAATTTTTCGTTTAGTCAACTTTTGAAATTTTCAATCGTCGATTTTCCAATTAAGTTCTTCAATTTTGCAATTTTTGGATTTTTTCCGATTTCTTTAATTTCCACTATTTCGATTTTATAATATTTAGTTTTTCCGATTTTGCATTTTTTTGTTTTTGAAGTTACTTAATTTTTGATTTTTCAATTTTTCGTTTCTTCAATTTTTCAAGTTCTTAATTTTCAGTTTTTGGATTTTTCAAAATCTTCATTTTATATTATGTATTTCATTTTTTCATTTTTGATTTTTCAATTCAACAATTTTGCAATTTTTACATTTTTTTGATTCGAAAAGTTCAAAAATCGAAAAACTAAAAATTAAAAAAAAAACTGGAAAAACGCAAAAATTGCAAAATCAAAAAAGTGGGAAATCGGAAAACTATACAAACGAAAAATTCTAAAGATGTTTCGATTCCTCGATTTTTCGGTTTTTCAATTTTTCGAGTTTTAAAATCATTGATATTTTCATTTAAAATCGTTGATTTTTTGATTTTTAAAATTTTCAGTTTTTAACTTTTCACTTTTGGCCTATTTCGATTTCTCAATTTTTCGATTTTTTGACATTTTGATTTTTCGATTTTCCGATCTTTTGGCATTTCTCTTTCTTCATGTGTCGGTTTTTGAATTTTTCGATTTTTCGACTTTTCGATTCACCATTTTTCCGATTTTTCAATTCTTCGATTTTTTAGTTTTTGAATTTCTCCTTTCTGTCCTAATATTGAAAAAGTAAAAGTTTTTTAAAATTATAATTATTAAAAAAATATTTAAAATGAAAATTAGGAAAATCGCAAATCAAAAATTCAAGAAACGAAAATTTAAAAAATCTAAAATCCAAAAATTCAAAAACCACAAAATTGAACAAAAAAAGAAAATAAATAACGGAAGCAAAAAACTGCATAACGAAAACCTGATAAACAAAAAATTGAAACATCGAAAAATTGAAAAATTAAAACTTGAAACCTCGTGAAATCGCAGATCAAAAAATGGACATCCAAAAGTTGGAAAACCGAAAGAAACAAAAAAGTGTGAAATTAAAGAAAATGGTAAACCGAAACGAACAACTGCAAAACGAAAATTTGAAGAAATGAAAAATTTAAAATCGAAAAATTGAAGAATCCAAAAATTCAATAACCGAAAAATTGAACAATGAAAGAAAATGAAAAATGGAAGTGAAGAATTGCAAATTGAAAAGCTGAAGAAACGAAAAATTGAAAAATCGAAAAACTGAAAAATTAAAAAAGAAAACTCGTGAAATTGCAAATGGAAAAACTGAAACATCCAAAAGTTGGAAAACCGAAAAACTGAAAAACTTTACAATAAAAACTCGAAGAGTTGCATGTCGTAAAATAAAAAAAAAAAAACAAAAAGAGATGAACTGAAGGAACAAAAAATTTTAATTAAAAAAACGACATCGTGAAAGTAAAAAAATGAAAAACCGAAACAAACTGCAAAACGAAAATTTGAAAAAATGAAAAATTTAAGAATCGAAAAATTATAGAATCGTCAAAATTGTACATTCCAAAAACTAATACTGAACGATCGAAAAATTGATTTTTCGACTTTTGGGATTTCGATTTTCCATTTTTCCGATGTTTCGATTTTTCAGTTCTTCGATTTCCAATTTTTTAATTTCTCCTTTCCCTCGTAATAACGAAAAAGTGAGAAATGAAAACGAAACTTTGAAGAAATGAAAAATTTAAAAATCGAAAAATTGAAAAATTCAAAATTCAAAACTGGAAAAATTTTGAATCGAAAAGTGCAAAATCTAAAAATTAAGAAACAAAAAAAGAAAAATTGAAAAATCGCAAATCAAAAAATCGAAGACACGAAAAACTGAAAACTAAGAATCGAAACACTGGAAAATCAAATATTTGAAAAAATAAAGAAAATAAAAAACCGAAAGAAAAATTGCAAATCGACAACTTGAAAATCTAAAAATTGAAAAACTGAAAAATTTAGACATAAAAGCTCGAAATATGTGCTTCAAATCGAAAAACTGAAGAAACAAAAAAAAAGAAAAATTATGTCATTTATTTACGCCACTGGTTTTTGCTTTATAGAGGTTATCAGAAAACAAAAACGCAAACAATTTTTATAATTTTTCAAAAAGTGGGATTTGTTAGGCTGCACTTCAGAGGCGAAGAAAGTTCGATCAAAATAACCTTCGACCAATTTTTTTACAATTAATAACAAAAAACGAAAAACCAAAACCGAAACATTTTCAAAAAATACAGTTATTGTTTCTGGTATGGTAATTAAATTTGGTTCAATTTGAAGTTTATTTTTGACCAATTGCCACGAAGTTTTACAAGCCGCCGCACCCTAGATTGAGGAGGAGAATAATTAGTGAAATGAATAAAAACCAGTGGTTCTTAAAAATTCCAAGCCACAAAACTAATTTTTTTTCAAAATAAATTTTCGTCAGTTGAAACTGAGACCTAGGGCTTCTCTATATAAAAATCAACTCGAACAACCGGCAAGTGCGGGCCCGTCGCCAGATCCCACCTTGCGCGCTATGCTCGTCCCACGGGTCAATAGAGGGCGTTACCGTCCCCTCTCCACCAGCTGTCGTTGACACTATTGACAGATCACAAAACGCACACAGCCGGAGTCGGGGTTTGGAAAACGGGAGTGTTAGTCGCCGATTTTGTTTGTGAAAAATTGCGGGAGTTGCGTGCTTTACGACAATGATTTCGACCGGAGCTTTCTTCCACACATTCAGAGAAAAATCGTGATGGCAGTGCTGTCGAAAAATTCCCTGCCATAATTTAAATTATGGCCGAATCTAGTCTGGAAACACAAATCGATTCCTTTCTGGAGCAATTCAAAAGAAATTCCTCCAAAGCCATGGAGGAACGCACCATCGTTTGTCGATCACGAAGTTCGTATTTGGACGCAGAATCGCCCGGTGAGTGTAATCAATCTATAAAACAATACGGCACATGTATATTTTTGTCACGTGGCCGTTTACCCCCGTAATCATTTATAAACACACGGTTCATTGCACTTGTCATTGCACGCTGCTTAAGGTACGAAGGAAGGCAAGGTGAAGTGCACGTTTTCATTCAAATCGGTTGATTACTTAGAAAAAGAAGCCACTTTTGTTATGACAATAGACTTGCGCTTTTTATGTGATGATAAAGCATATTAAATGATGTGCTAATAATCACGATTGACAGGTCTACTGTGTTTATTTATAAATACTAAATATCATTACGCTCTCGGGTGATAAAGACTACGTCCTGTTTTTGACGTAACAACGTTAATTGGCATTAATATGCGATATACTTTGTAACTTAAGTGAATAATCAGGAAGTGTCGCCTCTCACCACCCATCAACTTCTATAATCAAAAGGAAAATTTTTGCGTTATTGACCAACAAATTTATGTTTTCTTGCGAAAACTATAAAATATTAAACTGTTTATACGTTTGACTCGTAAAAAAAAAGCGAATGCGTAATATTTTTAACGATCTTTGGTCGGTAACTGACAGTCCCACGGAAATATCAATATGTAAACAAAGTTTTCTCCTCAAGAGGAAAACAAACAAGCCTTTATCAATACGGATAATTACATCCCACATGGTCTGTTTGTTCAAGATAAGGAAACAAATCATCGCTGCGCCTGTCACGAAATATGCAAATTTCACTCTTACGATACAATTCCGCAAAGCTTTAATAATCGAAATGGAACACGAGTGATACACAGACGTTATTTTTTATTAAAGTACATCAGTTGTATAAACGGGCGTCGAGTAGAAAATACAGAGGTTTTCCGTCAGGTTCATTATCGGTTTTCCTACACTTCAATTTCAACCTGTAATTTGAACGTTCCAGTTGTCTGAAGTATTTACCCAAAATGTACGAAATTCCTTGTTCCTACATAAAATGTTTTCATCAATAACACAAATATCTTAGAAACGTTTCGCTTTCGAAAATTTAGATATTGTCGTACGATAAATTAAAACTGGCTCAAAGCAGCCTTGGAATAACGAATTTGTGTCGTGAATTAATTCATACGACCCGAAAAACCACAAAGCGCTTTACATGCAATACTTTGTGTTATAAATAAAGTCTCAGTCGGGAAATCTTTGACTTTTGTTTACACCAGGTGTTCGAGGTTTTTTAAATTTACTAAAGTATAAAACAAGAAAAGTTCTATCCGAAAATTCCAAAACGAAACGTTTCTAGCAAACTTGTAACGTCTTGCTCTACCTGCGGTTCTGCAGAATATCTCAATTCGCCCCAGTGGTGAAAACCATCGACCCACTTTTTAAAAGCCACTTCTTCCAAACCTAGCAACAATCGTAAAAGCAATATGGCGGCGTCCTCTTTCGCTATGATTTTGCTTTCGCCTACTGAATCTTCAACAATTAAACTGAAAGTGAAATTGATAATGCAAGATAAATCGTTAAATACTGTATAAACTGACGTGATATGTCCCTTTAGCTCATATTCATAAAAATCAATTTCTTGAGCATATATTTTCAAACTTGAAATGGAACGCACTGAGGCTCGACCCCAAATAATAGCAAACGAAGGAATAGAATGGCCAGCGCCTAGAAAAAACGGCGCACCCCAGTCAGGGTCATGTCTAAAATAATCAAAGTTAAATTATAGTCCATCCACGAAAATCGTGGCTTTATGAATTTGACTTTTCCGCGTCGTAGAACTTACAAATTCGCCGTTTCAAACCTCATCTTCGGTTCGTAACTAACAATTTCAACAGATGTTAGAACCGTACTCTTGTAATATTTGTCTTTTTGCGGTTTAACGTTATGGACGATCACATTCATATCCGGTATAAGACCATATGGCATTGCTAAATTCTCCCAATTGTTCAAATACACCTCTAGAATTTTATCGTTGGCTTCAAATAAAATTTTATGGGTTTTTACACCTACGAAAATGGTTTATCGTGGTTTGGGCGATCAAAAAAAATTACCTGGCGTTCCAAAGTTGCGATCATTTGTAACTCTAGAAGTCGCAGAAGGAATTGGGTTGTTGAAAAGTTTTAGCGAAATTGTGCCCTTAAAAGACACTAGGTCGTGCGATCTAAGTTTTGTGAATGCGTCAGATACGTCAGAAACGTCAGAGTATGTGGAATGCGTTGCAACGAAATGCGTTCCGAGTGGTACATCGTAGCAACAAAACGATTTCGAAAAAAGTTCTTCGATTTCGTGATTCTTGATTTTTTTGCTGCGTTAAGTGATAATATAGCAGCGATATAAAATATACAAATATATATACCTACAGTGGTTTTTTGTAATACATGGAATAATTGTGTCCTGATTTAAGAAAAGGGTACAAATTTAACAACCCTGTTTGTAAACGAAGACCCGCGTATGTATTGTCTTTTAGAATAACCTCCAACCAGTAAAATCTATCTTTTTTTGAAACTGCAATCAACTGCAAAATTTTTATTTGAAATGTGTTACCATAAAATGGTCGTAAAGCAGTTATATTATTCATTTCAAAGCGTTCAGCCATTAAAATAAAAAGTGTAAAAGAAAATTTATTGCCTGCTAAATACAATCACGCGCATGCGTGTAGATAAGTAAAGTAAAACAAGTCATTAAAGTACGCTTTCGCATTGTACTATTTGATGGCCAATCATTTTGAAACAAATCTTGTGATACTCCACCTGTGACTTAGAAATAATTCTACATGGCATCTGCTTATATTCATCCGTTTCTAGTGGAACCTCACACAGTAGAACGCCCTCTTGACAATGTGTGCTATTCAACTTCGTTATTTTACCACAATCAATTAAAAAATATTCCATTGTGGAAAGTCCCAAACTGTTATAAATTTCCGTAATATAACCGAATTCCTTAATTAAAACATACGATCTGAGAAACTTCGAAATCTCGTTTCCTTTATTGTTTACAAACACGCAAGGAATTTTTCGCGTCGAGTCTGCGAAACATATTGTTCCGTTAGTATCATCCACCGAAAAAAATCCAAACAAATATTTGTTGTCTGACCAGTTCCAATGCGTACCAAACGTCCAATAAGAAAACTGTTTATACAAATTTGCCTCGTTATCAACGTATTTCATCTGATTTAAAAACTGAAGTTCGAAGTTTACGTGTCGCAACGTTCGTAAAACATCTAAAATAACGTCGCAACTATTGATACCCCCGACACCACTTTGCTTCAACTTATCATAACTCTTTGCCAGCTGCAACAAATCCGGCGGTTCTAAATTCAGCTCTTTGACAATATCGACAAACGCATTTGTAATAGGCGTCAACGTGAAATTCGCCGTAATTTCGCATTCCTTGGGTGTCACAATCATGGAACGAATGAAACTTTGATCGCAATTAAAATAGGGCGATTTTATGACAACCGGTGAACCTTCCTCGGGGAACTTTTGTGTGACGTTTTCTATAAACATTGGCACCATGTAGATTGTTGTTTTGGGTTTTTCGCACAATGTTGCTTGTGCAACATCGAAGGTAAGCAATTTGTGGTCAATGTCAACGACGACACCCTGATGTTATTGTTTAGTGTTTTACATTAATAAAGAGGTGTTTGACTTACCCGCACTATCCCCATGTCATTCATTTTGTACACAAATAAATGATAAACAATACACAAAATGAACACACTTATAGGTTAGATGTGCCGCTGCCGCCAAGTGCGCGAGCATGCGCAGTAACGGCAGTTATGCCAACGTAAAAAGTGCGTTTTTTGAATAAAATTTTCGTTAATTTTATTTTATAATTGTTAATTAACGATTGTTATTATTTTCGGTGGACAAATACAAAAAACTTTTGTCCCTAAATTTAAAAAAATAGGTCACCCGTTTCCGTCAGTCTGTCTCCCTTGTCCCATATTTTCGTGCGTTTTTTGCTGTTTCAGATATGTTCGTATGTTCAGAAAGCGCCACACCTTGAAAAGTAATCATATATCTATAATAGTAACCTTACTTCTTTGAAGGTCGTTAAGCTTACGGTAACATTGCCTAGAGCAACATTACGTATTTTTAAAATGAAGTATCATTTATTAAGCGAATCTACTAAATATAGAATTAGTCATTAATATCGAGCAGGATTTGCATTATTTAGCTGACACATAAATTACAGTCCAGTGAGAGTAGTAGAACAAAGTTTTCTTTCTAGGACGATTTATTAATACCTGAAAAGTATCTAAAAATATATTTCTGTTAATTTATTTAGGGTTACTGCGTAAGCTGACCATAGTCAGATGTAATAATGTAAAAAAGTAAATATTACTCAATTGGGTTTCGTCTACGCGTTCTAAATCCACGAAATTAAAAAATAAAAATGTTTTAGTAAATACGCAGTTCAGGGTTGATATGTTTCAGATAACGCGACGATTTCAGTGGAACTTTTGTTATAATTAAACTTATGTTAAAGTTTGGCGATATAAGTCTTGATCCTACGATATAATTTGCTCATTATATGGTACCTTTAAAATGATTGTTAGTCACGTGATCGTTTATTTATTTCTAACCTATTTATATGGAAATCTAGTTGGTTAAAATCAAAATTCCAGTCCACGGTTCTTGCAATGTTACTAGTTACTAGATTCCTAATTAATGGAAGTTTTGTAACAGTTGCTTGCTTATATCTTGTGGTCACGTGACTTGTTAACATTTATGAAGGCTCCGAATTCTGTCCCTGGTTCCCAATCAATATAGCTGGATGTGTCAAATCTTGCCGCTAAATAACTTAAACTTATCTATATTGTGCGCCCTATATTTCGCCCTAAATAGTTTTACATTAACTATTTACAACACTACAACAATTAACACAAAATATGCATAAAAATAGTTTAACGCTAGTTGTCATAGTTTTCCAACAACTTGCTTGCGCCGTTTGCAGATCGCAATTTTCTTGAATCTTGAATTAATTTTGTCGTAAAATAAACAAAATTGTTGTTTGTTTCTGGTTACATTTGCATTTAAATTTGAATTTGGTGGCAACCTTGAGCATGCGTCCATCTCTGATTCTGCGCAGTATGCTGCAACCGTGTGAACGCGACGATGTTGACGACAGCGAATATGGCGTACTATGCAACCGAACAGTTTTCGATTCCGGTACGACAAATTTGTAGAAATACGAGTTGAATGGTGTTGTGATGTGTAAATCCTGACATTAATCAATAGAAGATTTTATTTTCTACATGACTGGTGATTGAAGTTGGTTGCTTTATGGCATAAATTTTGAATAAAAGGTAAAACGTCTGTAGATGTAATGGATACCAATACGGCCCACTTTTGTCTGACTTGCACGGTTGGCAAACGAAAATGATCTTTTATGTAATACATAAAGACTGTTTTCGCTCAAAGCCGCCTATAAGTAGCAATAATATTATGGTATCTTTTGTTTATGTTGTGGTGAGCACGTTTTTCACGAAAACGTCAAATAAAGGTGAATTATTGATGTTTGTGCAATGATGAAGAATGACAGATAATTATTCAAGACCCGTCGTCGTGAATTTTGGCTAGATTGTTTGTTTTTGGCGATTGAAAGTCCGGAACGGGGGAGGTTGAATAAAATTACAGTTGGAGGAGGTAATGAACAACCAGCGTCTTTTCGCGGTCCGATTATTGCTAATTTAAAATTAAATAAACAAGATGGATACAACTAGTCCTTTATTTAAGGGGGAATTTGTCAATGAAGTTCTTAACCTAAGTAGTTTTGTTTTGAGGAGTGTCATTAAATTAAATTAAGAAATTCGTATTGTCGAGTGTCAAACAATTGATGTTATTGTTGCGTTTTAATTTGCTCGTAAGATTTTCTTTAGAATTTTACAATGCGAAATTTTAATACACTACATGCCCTATTTCCACCATGCAAAACAATTGAAAATGGAAATGTTTTATCACGATGAAGTTTGAATGCTTTATTATGCTTCTACAGCGTCACTATTTCATTATTTGTATGTAACTACGTTCGATTAAATTGAAGTTTTCCAAAAGAAATCACTTTGTAACATTGATGCTAATAATACGATTCTAAACTAGATGTTTGCTTCCTTTTCAGTAGCTACTTTTGTATTACCGAAAACACCGTTAGAATTTCAAGGTGTATTGCAAAGTACATAGAAATATTTTATTTATAATGTAGAACTACGCGGGTAATGTAAAAAAGGTTATCATCGTTTTGTGTAAACAAATGTTGCTAACGACCTTGTATATTTATAATGAAATGTTAGAATACAGTGAAGAGTGAAAATTGCTACTTCCGCTATACAGTTGTATGTTTTTTGTTCTTTCTTATTGTAACATTTATTAGAAAATGTTGCAACTATATAAACAGTTGTCACAAGTAGGTATAATGTGTTGCAAAAGAGATATTTCTATAATTGCAGTTGTCATTTTCACTGATTTGTATAAAACACGTGATAAATATATTAACAACTAGTTGAGAATCGAATAGAATATGCATTGGCGCACTGCAACAGAAGGCATTTCAATAAATACATTCACTCGTTAATCAGTTATTTTTCGGGAATAAAGCGCTTGTTACGTATTCAACTCATATCAGATATTGTTATCGCAGTCGGCGAATTGTCAATGGAGTGCACTTTACGTGTGCATAATACGGCGGAAATGCCTGTGTGGAGGTGCACAGCTATGTTAATGTGAAATTTTGAATGCGAGGTTTAAAAATACGCTCGATTATGTAAAAGAAATAGATAGTAGTGTCACATAAATAAAAGATTGCCATAAAGAGGATTTGCACTGGATGTCCAAGTGTAGCTATTGTAGTATTCTTTTTCAAACATCCGGTATTAAATGTCAAACTGATGCGCCTACCGCAAGTCATGATAAAAATTTAGAGCCGATAGAAGTTAAGTAGCTAACAGTAGGCACCACAACCATAGTGGCCCATCTCTTAACACTTCGCGTTGTAGATGGCCCAAGTTGATGAAGCCGAGAAGGAAGCAAGCGAAGTATTACATTCGTTACTTTCTGTGGAAAGAATCGAAAAATCAGAGGTGATTCTCGAGAACAATGAGAATCAATCGCCATCGTCCCAATCATTTCAATCAAATACTCCCTCAGGAAGCGATGTCGTCGAAGGGGAAGCCCAAATGCAGTGGTCCGCGCCTGTGGCGCTCACTGCGCATTCAATATTTTCCACCATAGACGGCAACAACCATTTCCAACAGAACCAAATCGACGATCAGCAGGTAGTTGTATAATATCCTTTCTCTCTAGCTAATAAAGAGTTTCTAATTTCTAACAAATTAAGTTGTAGGTGATTTGGGAAGGTCACACGATACAAGTAGACAGCAGTAATCCGCATATAAACGCAATTTATACTAGTCCGATTGAAGAGACGCCACAGTCACCAAAAAGGAACACCACGACGACTACGGCGACGAAGTCCAAGACGCCCCCGAAACAAAACAAGAAGAAACAACCGCCGAAAAAGAAGAAGAAAACGCCGAACGCCGACGCGAATTCCAATGGCAACGACGCGACGAAGTTGGAAGAGAGTTCGGCGCAGGTTAAAGAGAGATTTAAAAGAGGTTGCGAGTGCCAAGATGAAAGTTGCTTTCGTGGGTTAAACCCTGAGAGTGTGTACAAACATAGACTTAACATAGCCGAGTTGACGAAAGGTGAACACGATATGTATTTGATGGGAGTCACTATGGCGTGTCTTGCCAACCCTGATACTACCGTACGACATAAAGAACGAAGAAGGTTGAGAGCGCAGTACGTGTATCAAGGACGAAGGGTGTGTCTAGACGCCTTCCTGTATTTAGAAAACTGTACCCACTATCAGTTAAAACGAATAAGGAAACACGTGATGACGCACGGCGTAGCACCTCGGGTACACGGGAATCATGGGAAAAAACCCCACAATACATTCCCCCTAGACATATACTACCACGCTACGGAATTCTTGAAGCAGTATTTGGAACAGTATACAGGGGAACGGGATATTGTAAATACGAAACAACCAATCCAGTTACCTTGGGACGTGACGAGAAAAAACTTACACGACGCGTATAAAGAATACGGACAAATACTCGAACCGGGGATAAAACTAATGGGATACTCCACATTCAGACACTTCATGAAGGAACAGTTCCCTCATGTGAAGTTTTGCAAAGTGGAACCCAAATCGGCCTCGGCACCGCAGCAGCAGAATCAAAATCAACAGCAACAACAACAACAACATCCTCAGCCACAACAACAGCAGCAGCAACAACAACAACAGCAGCAACAAGAGTCTGCGCAAATCCATCAACACACGATACAAAAAAGTGCACAAATTATAGAGAGACCCAGAGAACAACAAATTCAGAAGTGTGTTATAAACAACGAGGTACAACAAGTCATACCTTTGGTGGTCGCTCAACCTAATGATGGTACAGGTACCCAGCACCATCAACAAACCTTCCTTGTAACTCCCGTGTCACAAATAATTCCCAACGGGTCACAAAACCCCAGTGGTCACGCCCCTGCCAATGCATACTCATACCAATTAACTAACGCAGGGTACGTCATCAATGAACAAGGCAACATTGTCACAACGATGGCGAATCAACACCATGCTCCATACACTTTCAGTCGAATGTAAAATGGCGGGTGTTAATTTTGTATATATGTTTTTCATTTGCATTTATTTATTCTCTTTTGTTTGATATGAAACCGACTGATTTGTTTTGGCCAAATTCAATTTGTGGCAGGTAGTTTCATAAATACGTCCTTATTTATTTCTGAGCGCAGCAACTGTAACCTGGAGGTAATGAAATAGTGGGTTTTGACTTCAAGGAAGAACTCGGTGATATGTATTAAGTTGTAGTATTAACAGTATGGTTGCGACACAGTCAAATGTGGGAACAGAGCATGCGCAAACATACACGTGACAGTTCTTTGGTTAAGTTGACAATAGTCGACAAATTACGTGATACGATCATCTTCCTAGGTGCAGTATAGAAGATTATAAATAAATTATTTTTTTGGAAAAGTTGCTGTTTTCTCGTTGTAAATATTGATTACACATACGGAAACGTGATTGGGTTAACACCCAATATTGAAAGCCATATATGTAAACAAATTTACTGTGTGGCTGTTGATGTTCTCAAATGTATTAATCAAACTACAACTTTTGAGTGTGTAGTCAGTAGTTACATTTTTGTAAATAAATAGAAATAGAAGTTTTTATATTACTATGTTAGCCGATTCGTCAGCTGCTATGTGTTTGTAGTAATTTATTTTCTTTACGTTGTAACGTTCTTTTTTTGCAAGATGAACGAATGTCATTCGCAATCGAAAAATATTCGTTGACTTACCGATGTTTTAAGACAATATGTATTACCTACCTTCAAACTCCGATTTTTGTATTAAATTGAATACTTAATAAAACCTGTATTTTTTAAAGCTAATAAATTTTTATGTTTTCCATGTTGTCTACATTTTTAAGGGCTGTCTAGCTAAACCTTATAAAATCAATAATTAATAGCACGCGCTATAATTACTCCTAAATTTGTGGCGTTGCTTCCGGCCATCCCCTCTTCTGCGTATCCTCGGACTATGGATGAAGATCAACATTGTGACCACTTAAGCAAATATAAGCGTAAACTAGCAATGCAAACTCGAATGTAGTGGACTTCCTGACCTTGAGGAGCTATGATAATATAAATTGCAACGAAATTGTCTTATCGCTGAAAGTAGGTAGCATTCTTTAGATGTTTACTGCAGTTGAAGCACCATAATTAAAAAGTAAAGTGCAATTGTAGTGTGAATATGTACTGATTACTTTCCAAACTATAAAATTATGAAGATTTGTATTTTATCACGTGTATATATAGCATACAAAAATCAGATTCAAAAACAGTGACACGACACGAGTTATTGTTATAACGTGTATGTACTAATTTTTTTTTTTGTATTTAGATGAACCCGTGACGCCTTGCGAGGAAATTGAAATGGTGAACACCATCCAAGCAGAACCTCTAGGACTGAATGATGTTGCCGAATTATTACATTCACAATACGCTATTATCTCAGGTGGGAAATCGAAGGAGGGTTGCCCTATTATCACTTTCCCAGATAACAATAATTTTCATTTATTAACCGACGCTGAATACCAACGATTAATGTTATATTTAACTTCAGTACCCTCGTAAGAGTGACTCCTCTATACTATTTCGTGTTAATTTATGTTTCGTAGGCTACAAGAGGCAGATTTGGGCTTCCATTTAATAATAGATAGAAGAAAAGATAGATGGAATTCCGTCAAAACTGTTCTATTGAAAATCTCAGTAAGAACCTTGTAGTTTCGTAGATTAGTATAGAGTATTCAAGATGTACTCAAGTCGTCGAAGATCATGAACTTAAGTCAAGTCATTAAATGAATTAACGTTGGTTATGCGGAAGAATCAGTATTTCTGTTCTTTTGCAGCTGATATTTGACATTTGTCTTACATATCAATCAATGTTTGTGGAATTATTACACTGTATGACCTTATTTAAGAACTGTTTCTGTACAAGAAACGTAACGAAGTCGTCATTTGTTGCAGGTATACTTTCCAGGTCTTATTCACGTCGTGTACGTAATAAAACCTGCAAGTTTCTTACAAAAAGCTTTATCCGAAGTAAGCAATAAACTTTTTAAGGATGAATTTAAATTCCGAATGATAGTTTTAAGTACAATAGAAGAATTACACGAGTATGTAGACTTAAGTCAGATAACGTCAGACTTAGGCGGCAGTTTATACTACTGCCACGAGGAATGGATGCAACAAAGAATGGAATTCGAGAAATTCTCTCTAGTAACTAAACAAGTTTCAAATGCCTTAGATAAATTTACGAAAGTTATCGAAGAAGCCGAACTACCCAACAACGTCGATTCGACCCAGCAAGTCCTAAACTGTCAAACCCTCGGCTATTCCGAGTTGAAAGAAGAAATCCTATCCGCGGCGAAACACGGCGAAAATTTACTATGTTCGATAAAACTAAAGTCAACGAATAGCGACAACAACTGCGACACCATGGGGGACGTACTAGCCATAGAACGGCTTCTAGTCCAGTTAGAAGAAACCGAGCGCACGTTCGACGAATTCTGGCAACAACACTCCACAAAACTACGTCACTGCCTGGAATTGCGACGCTTTGAGCAGGACTTCCGTGAGTTACAAATTAATTTCAGTTTGCATTTGAAAGTCATCGGCGACATGACGGAAGTTGGCGAAAATTTGAGCCGGATCGACGATCTGAGTAAGGATTTAGTCGCATTCGAGAAACTTTGCTTGGTTGATATAGAACGAGCGGAAGAGGTTATCTCGTCGGGGCAAAACCTTATTCAAAATAAAGTTTTCTATCCGCTGCAATGCGTGGAACCGAAGGGCTGTGAACTGATGACAATGCGGGACACGTTACTGGAGAAATTGTTTAAACGAAAAGAAACCCTTATCAACAGCCAGAAAGTCATAGAGGAGATTGAGAAGGTTAGTGCGAGGGTTCATCGTATCCTGCAGGCTGCGCCATTTATGATTTTGTATTTTTGTTTCTAGGGTAACGAATGGTGCACGAAGGGTCTGCACGTCTTGAATGCCTATAAAGTAGACAAAGACATCTACTCTGAAGTGGCAAAGGCATACATGAAACAGATTGACGAATTTTTAAAAACTGAGGAGGTTTTTAATAGTGCCTCGAAAGAAATAATGTATCTTCAGGATACTATTAGTACAGAACTGAGGGACAGATTGAGTCAGGTACGTTCGTGATTAATCACTTTTATTAATTTATAGATATTTTTTTTTTTAAATTAGGTTTTGCAAGAAATTGATGAGATGATGTTTCTGTGTAAAGAACGCTTGCATACTTTGAGTTGTCTGATTGAGCCCGAAAACTTAGCTCCCGAACTGGCTATTTCTAAGCAAACACTCGGAAACACACCTGACAAGACTGCGAAGAAAATTTGTAAAATACCAAAAGTATAACCATCTATAATCTCTAGCCGCCACATAGGAATACCTTTTCTTTGTAGAGTGGATCGTCAGAAAAGAATATAGAACTCGAATTTTACCACGCTTACCCCTCTCCAGAGAACGAAGAATTAAATAAAGCGAAAACTGGCCACGTTTTGACCGAGTTGATAGAAACCGAAAAGTTTTACGTTTCGGAACTGTTGTCTGTGATTAAAGTGAGTATTATCAAGTCTCATTTTTATGAGAGGCGGCACAGTTAGATGTGCAGATGTACCAGTTAATGTTTTTTTCCAGGGATATAAAATGGAAGTGAATTCGGAAGAGCTGCAACATTTGGTTACACCAGCTCTTGTCGACAATATAAATATAATATTTGGTAATTTGGACGAAATTTATAACTTTCACGCAAACGTATTTTTGCAAGATCTTGAAAATTGCATATCGTCAATCGATTTAGTAGCGTTATGTTTTGTTCAGCGTGTAAGTATGATACAGCAATATCGTGTACGTGTTTTAATTGTATCAAACTAATATTGTAAAATTTAAAAAAATCAAAATCACTCTTTCTGAAAAAATGTACAGCTGTAAATTTTTATTTTCCAGCGAGACATATTTTTTCGTTTGTACAGTTGTTATTGCCAAAATATACCACGATCGGAGCAACTACGTGAAACTCTGATGGATTCGAATATGTTTTTTCAAACATGCCAGCGCAAACTTGGACATAAACTACCTCTTGCAGCCTATTTACTAAAACCAGTTCAAAGAATAACGAAGTATCAATTATTATTAAAAGATTTGCTGCGCTATTCAGAAGCTGAAAAGTGTTGTAAAGAATTGCAACAAGCCTTGGATTGTATGCTGGTTGTTTTAAAGTGCGTTAATGACAGTATGCACCAAATCTCGATTACTGGTTTTCCTATCGACTTGTCTCAGCAAGGAGACTTGCTTTTACAAGGCTCATTTTCCGTTTGGGTTGAAAATAAGAAAGATTTAAGGCTGAGATTGAAACCCCTAAGGAGGCATATTTTTCTGTACCAGAAGTCAATATTGTTCTGTAAATCTGTTTCCAAATCGTCGCATAACAAAGCCACATATCATTTCAAACACTATTTAAAAATGTCTGAAATTGGCTTAACTGAATCAGTCAAAGGTGATCCTAGAAAGTTCGAAATTTGGTTACAAGGTCGACAAGAAGTGCATACGATTCAAGCTTCAAACACTGAACAAAAACAGTCATGGGTTAATGAAATCAAACGTGTTCTTCTTAACCAACTAGAAGAGTTAAAAGGAGAGAAGATTAAACAATATACCACGCAAGCGCATAAGTAAGTTATTAACAAAGACTTTTAATTTCAGTGACAAGTATTTCACTCTAGGCCTCTTCGTCAGACAACGTCTTGGGAAAAACAGAAGAATACGCCTAACATTCCCTTGAGTAATAGTAACAGAGCGATGAGTTGCGACACCGATTGTCAATCGCAAGTTTCCACTGAAACTATAGAAACTTTGGAGGGAGAAACCTGGTCTTCAGATTGCAGCAACAGTGATGACGAAGAGCACCCGAATAAAAATGCAGTTCCTGTAAGAGAGCGACCTCTATAACATCATACTTTTTCTACTAAACTGTTCCAATTTAAAATTTAAATTTCGCGCCGTGTTTGAATTCTGTGTAACACATGCGCACATTTTGATTATCGGACGCATGCGCGTGATTTTCAATTTCCCGCCACAAAGTGGGTTTGTTCTATAATAAATTGATAAATTGTTTTACAGAGTGGTCGTTATGTTGCACTAGCAGATTATTGTGCCATTGGCAGCAGCGAGGTCAACATACGGGAAGGTGATATGGTAGAATTACTGAAAGTCGGCTGTGCAGGCTGGTGGTTTATTAAAATAATAGGTATTTGTTGAAAAATACTAGTAAATAGTGAGGTTAATGTTGAAAACTTGAAGGTACGTCGACTGAGGGCTGGGCACCTGCAGCATTTTTGGAAAATTTGCAACGTAAAAGTTCACGTAGTAGCAGCAGAAGCCACGACAAGCTAACCGATGACTAAATCATGTTATTTGTTATATAAATTTTTGCGCAGTAGGGGAGCACCATTTGGTGATTTTTCTACAATGCATATATATATATTTTCATATGTTATACGGCCTGGTTATATTTTCAAAAGCAATATAGATAAAAGAATGAAACATGGGGAGAGTCACCTTGTTCAATTTTGGTCGAAATTAATAAATGTTTGCTTTATTTTTACTTGCTACTGGTGCCCTTTGTACATTTTATATTGCAGTGAATGTGATCCAGTTGTAAACTATAAAGTTCTTGAAGACGTTTTGTGAATAATGTAGAATTGAGGTAAAATGAATGTAAATACGATTATAGAAAGTTGTGGTGTTGTTCACTTTAGGTAGAATCAGGACCCACAAAGTCGCTCAAATATTTTTGTTATGAATTTTGGCTGTTAACATTGATTTTATCAATGATTTGGAACTATTTTAAGTTAGTTTAGACCAAAAGCGCTCAACGCATGTTGGTGGTTGTCAAACTTTGTTAAAAAGAATTATATTAAATATGATTTGAAGCTTGAGAGTTCGTCTGACGACCCGACCAGCCTTTGCGAAGTCAATTCACTTATTTATTGTTTTATTGACGAACTGTAACGACTGCAAAAGTATTCTTAAAAGTATTTATTGTTATCAATGTTATTTATGACACTTGACTTTTATTATACATGGGCGTTTCATCTCCGTCGAAGTTGTCAGTTGAGTTGCAACACCCAGTATAAGAAACACTGTCGATGTTTATATCATGACTTGGTTATAATTCAATTTACAAGAAGTGCAAGTCTCTTAAACTATTACATAAATATAAGCACTCTTTAAAAACTAGTACAAAATTAATTGTAATATATAATTTATTTTTGTTGTGGGCACTCCACAGTTATAAAATCACTTGAGGGTGTTAAAATTAGTTTATTTATTTTAAAGAGGTAGAGAAGTTGTCAATGACTGTAGGAACATGGAAGTACCAGATCAATTAGGAAACTATTTTTAGAATAAGTTACACAAGTCATAAATGTAGGTACCCGTTTGTGTTTCAGAGTAAAGGATCAGAGCTCCATGCAAAAAGTCAAGGGTGGGAGAAAATTTCTAACCCGGATTGGGGTTTAGCGAAGACTAGCGTGGGGTTTTCTCGAAATAAGTTCTGTTATACTGAAAAATTATTAATAAACATAATAAACACAGTATTGGTTATACAAGAGTTTTTGTATAAACATAGATATAAGTACCTACCAATTTATTTACACGATGTATCTATGGGTGATAATTTTTCAGGTCTGATACCATTTTCTGTTGTTTCTCAATTTTTGTACAAGCAGTAAATAAAATTGTAATGAAAACAACTCACGACTTTTTTTAGCCCATCACAATAAAATTTTGTGCACTAGATGAAGGTTGAATAAAATGCAAGTTCCAAATATAACTTTGTAATATTTAAGTAATCATAAATACAAGTTATGTAGTGACTAAACTACAAATAAAATTATATAATACATAAGTTAAATCAGACTTTTCTTGATACAAAATACAAAGGTATATGAACAGAGGAAACGGTGGTTACTTACATAGAAAATTGAGCTAGTTTCCTGAATTTAATTTCTAATTTATTTACATCATGTATCGGTATTTGTAATTGGTCATGAATGAGGAGTGAAAATATTTTTTTATTTCATTTCACAAAGTAGTTTTTTTAGATAATTTATCCAAGAAGGCACTGTTAAAACCCAGGTTGTATTTATGAACATATAAAGTGGTATTCGGATAGAATTGTATCACAAAGTGGCAGTGACTGAATACACACAATAAACAAATTTATCGTCTAAAAAACAAATTCCCTTAAACGTACAAATACATACTTAACATATTACGTAAAAAACAGTCGTTCATATATCAATAATTTTTGGCAGTGAAATATGGTTTCATTCGTCTTTAAAAATAAAACTCATTGCGATATATCAATTGGCGCAGTCGCCTGTCAGTTGTTACGACTCTCGAAGGGAAGGACAATTTTCCGACGAAAATTGCTCTTCCCTTTGACGTCCCAACAGCTTCGAAAATAAAATAATATAATAAAAAGAAATATCTTATTTCTTTGACTTGTAAAATAAATATATTGTACAAATATATTTATTTTTGCATTCTATGTACACTTATAAATAACTGTTATGAGATCACGGTATTAAAATGTAACAAGTAGCCAATCTACAAAAATGAAAATCTTATGTACACACTTATCTACATTTTACATTATCACTCAATTTTACATACATTTAATACACAACTATCAAATATTAAGTTGTACATTCGTTACAAGTGGCAGTGGTAGCTGAGAATAGCACTTTCAAATTAAATTTGCTACATTAGTCGATATTGTTCTGCAGTAGCGCTAATGGTAGGATATAAACTGAAGTTATCATAAACTTCCATCAACTCCTCCATTTTGTACTCTTCTAAACATACGAAGCCTTCTAAATTCGGCGACTGTTTGCGTGCACATTCCATGCAATGAACGACATGCCGCTTTTCTTGTTCTCTAATAAATAATATATTGAACACTTCAATCTGCAACAAACACGAAATTGTATCCCACCGATGACACCATTTTCGTAGCGCACTCACCTCACATTGTCCACAATAGTGCGAAGCTTCATTTTTACCCCTTCCGTGGAATTTTACTTCAACACCTTTGTGTTTCACGAACTCGAGTATCATAGAGCATTGTCTTAGCGTTCTCATCAAGCAGTTTCTACAACAAGACGAAATTTGTAAAACGAAGCGAAGCGTGTTTGGATACGTACTTAATTAAATGAAACAACTTCGGATCTGAGACTTTGATATTCCGCGACAAGTTCCACGACAAATGCAACATAGGCACAATTGATTTAAAACTTTGTAATTTATTCCATTCGTAACGTTCTATTGCGAGTTGGTATTGACGTGCCGTCAGAGGGCCAACATTCCACGCGATGTTATTACACCAACCGACGGCTTGTACCCAATGAACACATCCAGCGTTGACCCAAACCAAGTCTCCCGGCCTCTGATTAAATCGATACACGGGAATATTAGCAGCGAAGAGATCGTCTAAAACGGGCCACCACGATCCGTGCAGGTAATTTATTTGGTTCTTTTCGCAAAGGGCGCAAATTGCGCCCCAGTAAGCATCAGGAACCGCAAACCACTCACAATCGCCGGGGCCTATGTTAATGTTAATCGAACAAAAGTTGTTGTTTTCTTGGTGACCAGGCGTCCTGCTGCCCGGAACCTACAATTGAAATTAGTCAAGGGTTTTCTAGGAATTTCGCCGTACCTTCATGTATAGCTGGACCGTATTCATCCCGAGTATCACGTGGCCTACGTGCGAAAGCATATTTCCGGCTGACACGACTCGCGCAAAAGCCGGTAGTTTCATGAGTTCTTGCAACTGCGCTTTCCATTTTTTCTCGTCGGATAGATCTACGTTTGTACCGAACCTGCAACGAAGTGTGAGATACGCGTGATTGGTTGAAAGGTGACTTACTTAAGCATCTTGGGTTGGTTGCAACCTTTCGTGTTGAGCGAGGGCGGAATATTGCAAAGTCGTCTTCTCTTCGGGAAGTTCGCCGAATCTTTGGAGTCCGAATCTGATAAACCGCTAGCGGCCTTATCCCGTTCTTCCTATACAGAAAAAGCGATTAAAACAGAATGCGCACACCCGTTTTAACATACTTTTAAACTTTCTTTGAAACTAGAAGCTTGGTACTGAGCGTATCTTGCTATGGTTGTATGCGACCTATGCGATATGCAAGCCCACACTTTTTTCCCTGATTGTGGGTCCCAGTTTTCGTCGGAAGGTTGCTGAATTTGCGTTCGAACTTCCACGCTATGATCTGGGTTAGCTTCCACCAGAGTTTTTGTCGAAAATAATCCTAAATCCAATTTTAAGGCAGAAGCTAACCCGCGTATTACAGCGATGGGGTGTTTGAGACAAAATTCTTGTAATTGTGGACTAAATGCGTGTTTTTTATTATCTAAGTAGACTGAAGGCGTAGGTGGCAGTAACTGTTGAGGATTTAATTTTATCGTAGGGGGGTCAGGAGGCGACGGCGGAGGTGCTCGATCTGATATTAAAGAATTACTAATTTCACCCTTAATACCCTCACCCCTAAAAACGGATAAACGAAAACAAATTCCAAAAAATCGACAACAAAATGAGACTTACTTGCAAAGTCTTAGGATCGTTTTGGCTTCCATTTCTATGGAATATTCGACTTCGGGGCGTTTATCCGAATGCATTGAGTCCACTTCCCACGGCGGCTCTGATTTGATGGTGAGTATGCTGTCTTGTTTAGGCGACTTAATTCGCTTTTTCGAGTCGACGTCTTGTTTTGAAACTCCCGAATCTATATTTGATGGTGAAAAAGGTCCCGAGGAAAGAGTAGATTCTAAAACGTCAAGATAACCGTCGATTTTAACGAAAAAGAACAATCAACGTACCGCTCTGATCCTGTTCTTCTTTGATATCGATGGCGTCCGACCCGAAATGCTTCAGCAAGTTTTCCGCCAACGTCGTAGTCAAATCCTTCTGTGACAAAAAATCCTTCAGTTCTTCTTCACTCACGTCCATATCCGTCGAGGGCTGTCCAGACAAAGGCATCGTAATATCTCGGGTACAGCTCGGTATTAAATTAGGCGACGGTTGTAGTAACTTATCGCCGTTCGGCGACGACATGTTCTTAGTTATGTTCAGAGGCGGTGTTACGTCTTGTGGTGACTGTCCTTGAAAATGACTATTTCCATTGTACGTCGGAGGTGTAGACCCCGGACGCGCGTGCGCCGCAACAGTCTGCCTCTGTCGTAACTGTTGTTGCTGTTGCATTAACCGGTGTTGGTGTTGCAGTTGTAATCTCATATTCTAAAAACAAACATAAGCAATGTCCGTGGTATTCGCTCGACTTACTCACTTCTTGAGCAGGAGTCAAATTGTTCACATTCTGTTGAAAATAATTCAACAGTTGCAACTGTTGGGGAGAAAGTGTAAACGAATGCTGCGGAGGCGTCGGTTTTTGTTCGGGTTCTGGTTTAAACTGTTTCACGGGGGCTCCACTCGGCGAAGGATACGGTGGTGGAGGTCCTTGCGGGGTGGACCCTTGATTAAAATTTTTCTGATATGACTGCGTATTACTTTTAGTTTGTTGGGAACCAGTTTGCTGCTGTTGTCTTGACGACATTTCTGCCGATATTGGAAGATTCCACGCTTCTTCTATTGAGAGCAGTTGTCTGCGCCTAAAATTTTGTTTGCTTTGTATAGACACCTATATTGTACACAGAACACCTCGTTAGTAAACTTGTTAAAATAATGATTTTATATACTTAGATAAAACACAAATACACATCACATCGTTTAGTAAACAGAGGTAGATTTTATTCACGCAGTTCGACTGCGAACGTCAAAATGGGCCAATCAACCGTTTTTGCCTACCATTTTTTAGGTTACATGCAAAAACGGGTCTGAACCCAGTGCATAAAAATCGTCAAACTTTTTTTAAAAGAGCGATGTCAAAAAAAAACAATAAATGCTTATGTTGTATTTAATATTATGATCTTTAATACATAACGCAGTCTTTTGAAACAACATGGACGATATAGTCTACAATTCGTTAGTAAACTTCATTTCCAGTAAAAAGTGGAACCTGTCTGCAACACACGATACACTGGGAAATCGTTAATTTTACAACGAAACTACGTTAGTTTTAATCAGATGAAAATGAGTCAATTTTGGCCAATTATTATTTATTAAAACCCAAATAAGAGTAGACACGTATTAGTAGTATTAGTCAAAAAAACAACATAAGCACTTATCACTTTTTATTTTTTCGAGAAATACTAACAATAAACAAATAAATACACATGGCACGGTAAAACAACGACTTACTGGCTTGTGGCGCTTGGCATTGGAGCGTTTGCTAAATTAGATTGAAGAAAGTTAATTCTTTGTAAAAGATGTGGGTTCATTCCCACAGAAGATAGATTTAAACGTGGTAGCTTCGACGAAAGAAATGAATCTTCTGAACTTCTATTAGATAGTCCTCTACTGGAATTCAGATAGCAAGCATAAGCATCTCGAGCCTGTCCACAACTTTCATACAATATTCCCAAATTGGCCCAAGCTGCTGAATGACATTTATCGAGTTGGACTGCGCAGATGTAGGCTTGCAGAGCATCCATAGGTTGACTCTGCTGTTGATATAGTACTCTAAAAATGTACACGCTCACTAATGCACCACGAAACGAGTGTTTCTGCTTACCCTATGGAGCACCAAGTGTCAGCATTGCCTTCAGACTTTTCAACCGAATTTCTGTAGGCAATAAAAGCATCGTGGACTTTTCCTATACTAGCATAACATCTACCAAGAAGATAAAGAGTCTGACCCGAAAACTGATCGGCGTCATGTGCTCTTTGGAGGCAGTGGATTGCTAAAGGAATCCTTTGATTTTTATCTCCGAGCGAATCATGGCAGTGATATAACCAACCTAGAACGACAACACTCCTTCTAGTAGTCTCTTGTGTGCACGTAATCTAAAACTATCGTTTTTACATTTCACGCTCAACTATATTCCGTTTCGTCGCAATAAGCAAGCTTTAGAATACATGCACACAATAAACCTCCCCAATCTCGATTTCTCCAACGAAATTCGAATATTCATTAGTCGTCACGTGTTTGCATTTGTGGTGCGCAAACCGTGATCACGCTTGTCGATAACCGCGCATCGCAAATCACGCATCACGTTGAGTGGGAGGAGTCGCAATAGCTCCGCCCACTCAGGGTCAACCAATAACCTTGAGTACAAAATTTCGTACGCGTTCGGGCACGCTTACATCTTGAATTTACTAAAACAAATGCATGTCCTGGGTTGCGTTGGCAGCGACTGTAGAATAAATTCGCTTTCGTATTGCAGTTATGTGCATTAATTGGTAAATTGTGAAAGCCCGTACTTATCAATGTAATCAATTAGGTAAATGAAATTCTTAATTGCTAGATATTTACCTAATTGTCGGAATATATCAGCACGAAGAGACTGCGTAATACTTTTATCACGTAGAAGTAGTTCATAGCGGTCTTTGGCTCCTTTAACCTTCCCTTGTACTTCAAACAAGTGGGCTATATGGAATTTTACTGAAACAAAGAAAAATCGACTTTATTTGAGGAATATGGTAAATCTAGACGAAAATTTAGATGTCGTTTACCACATCCATCGTACTAGTTTCCCTGAATTTTGCGGAAAGTCTTGAAACATTTTCTTCTGCAAATCCCCTACAATTTCTTTAATTACTACTTTTCGATGTAAAATAATCACTTAAAAATCTCTGAGTGCGATTCGTGTTAAAAATTTCAAGAAGTCATGGCCAATTACATAACCTTTAAAGGAGAGTCCATGCCACATTTAGTCCAATACAAAGCAACGAATAATGATCGTGATTCAATGTCATTTGCTATAAATGAAATTTCAATGTCGGAAAAAAAAAGGTAATGGAAACACCTACATGAGCATCACATGTTGATTTTATTACAAAATGATAGTGCAGAGGCGGTTTGATGTAAAATGAGCTTCAGTATGTTCAAAGTCAAAGAAATAAGTCACGCAAATACTAGTCTTCGATGCACGTAGTCAAAGTCCAAAATATTATTTTTGAATAAAGATTGATAAATATATCGATTTTCATATGTTTATATTTTTAAACTACGTCATCACATTGCGGCATGACATGAATAAATAAATTATAACACATGTTCCGTAATCTCTAAATCGATCGATGCTGGCGTTTTATAAAATTTTGAAATTGTAATATAACGTAATTTACAAAGGATCATGCTGGGTTTTAGGTTTAAACTAAGATTAACTGCGCCGATTTATGTCCAATTCGGTTTTACCGGATTACCACGAACGTCCTTTCTAATCAATACTATCAAAAGCACCACACAAAGGGTCCATTTTTAACTATTTACAGGACACGATTAAGAAAATGACCCAAGTGTAAAGAAATTATGTATTTTACCAAAAAGCTGTGAGAAACGTGACTGAATAAAAATAATTATTTGCATGTTACGCTAAAACTAATTAAAACAAACAACACGAAAATCAGGTGACATATGTAATCATAATAATAATGAAATACTACAGGAAAATAGTTGTTAAAACGCACAGGCGAAATATTTACGTTCAAAAGTACAAAAATGTTTAGCCATGAAGTTGGTAGTACATTTTCACGTCATCTTAATTATTAAACGTCAAAGCCAACTATCAAATAGTTTTTCGTGAATAAAATAACGTGTAATTTAGTGTCGAGTTTTACAAAAATGTATTTATATCACTGATCCCTGGTTCAAGGTCATCCACATTTTTGACGAATGATGGAAGTGCACTAAACCAACAGTTAGTTGTTAATCGCTACAATAATTTTCTAATTTGACTTAACGATTTAAATTTCCAATACGAGTTCATGTATGTGTTACATTCTCATTTTGTGACTAGCCGATGAATAATCGAACCAGATTCAGGAGTTGACGTGAAATTGAAATTCTCGTTCCGAACACAAAGAGCTACATTAATATAAAACGTTTAATAATTTTCGTATAAGTTATATTTGAACACGTGCACAAGTGATTGACAGATAAACTAAATAATTTTTGAACTGTATCGATTAATGTATAGTACAGCACAATCATAGTATACACTATACATCATAATAAACTGCCCCCACGTGACGTGTTATCTCTTTTGAACTAGTTACGACGTGACCCGTGTAAACCCAGATTAAATTAAATTAGAATGTACCCGACGTTAATTAGCAGCACTAGTGGCTTAAACAACTAAGAACGATGTTTCATCGATCGACAATTTTAATCGTTTCTGAGAAATGCAGTCGATACAGACTGACGTAACTGTTTCTTGGTCGCGCGAATTACAATTTACATACTTAAAAATAGAAATTGGAACGTAGTGTTTCTTGAATGGATATATGCGACCACGCTTTCCTAGAACGAACGTAGAATAAAAGAAGAAACCGAAACTTAAAAAAGAAACAACACGAGAAAAATAATTGTGTTACAAAGAATCATGTTCAGCGATTACTGAACTGACCTATACCAACAACAAACGTGTAGTCTTTGATTTGGCCTTGACACAGTTACTCGTTGCATACTTTTACGAAAGTCAAATAAAATATTCCGCAGAAGCATTAAATTTAGCCTTCACGGTCACAACACATAGTGTGATGCAAATCAGCCGACAAATAAAAACTTAATGAGGTAAATTATGCCGATAAACATAGTTTGAAGGGTGCGTCTTGAAAATTATATTCAGTACAAGGCACAAGGTGCAATTTGCATATTATACCGTACATTATACTACGCTCGTACTGAGACTATTACAACAAAAAAAAGTAACCGGAATGACGTTATTGCCCACACGCTTTTATTTGCATTTATACAATTTCTACTATTGCTTTTTAGCAAAAAAAGCTTGTAATACGTGCTTTAAATTTAAACATTCGGCCGAATTCGCCCCGCTTCGACTCGAAGTGCCTACGAGCCTGCCGGCACGTTCGCACAGAGATGCCGAGATCGATACTCAGGGCCCAACTCATTCATAATTTATTTTCGAATTTAAAATGTACACAAAGTACAGGGCATTCCGTTTTCCAAGGTCAAAAATGTCAAACGGTTCAAACGATAATCGACCCTACTACACAAACACGAGATTTGGCCTTGTCAAATCACAAGCCACTAGATATACGTCATATAATTAATCGAGGTGTGTAATGCGATGATGAACGGACCTGTCTCGTTGGCGGTTGACGACCCATGTGATCGATACAACTCGTGATAACGAGTCTTCGTAAAATTTACATCACGTCATCAGATGCGCTTTTTAAAACGGTATTCTCGTACACTATTACAATGTTACGAAAGTTTCATTACTTTCTTTGCGGGTTTATGATTATGATTGGAAAACGCTTATAACGATCAAACCGATTGTCTAGACAGGGCAATTACGTTTCGATTTCGCTCCACATAAAAAAAATATATTTGAATGTCTCACGGTGGCGCATGCGCGCTTTAAAAAATGTAGCTGGCTATTTTTACGTGCTGTATGTATAAGTAAATGTAATTGGCTATTTATACACACAATACGCAAAGTAAGGTTCGTCGTTTAGTTATGTAGGTCACTTTATCTGAGCTACGATTCTTACAAAATGGTATTTCAAACAGAAAACGCGTTAGTTGTAAAGTTACTTCCATAGTTCAATTTAAATCCAGTTTTTACACGTAATGAATACATTTTTTATCGTATTGATTAAACTCGTCGATACTTTAAAGTCTTTAATACTTAATAAAGAGGAATCGCCACGACAGTCGCCCGCGTCTATCTTTAGGTAATTGTCATCCGAGACAGACCTACTTATCGTTTGCTCGTTTTATTTATTATACAACAAAACAAAACTATCCAGGATAGTACGATAGTTATTTTAAGGCTTGACATCTGGCGATAAGAGAAGTTCAGAGGTAATTAGGTCGTGCTTGATTTTTTTCAGGCTTAAAGTGCAACTAAACTAAGAAAAATGGCGGTGGTTTACGTAAGCAACGATTAAAAACTTACTGATGCTTTTCGGAGTAGTACAGGGACTGTTGTCGACTAGAGCTAGTTGTAAATGTTTTAAGGCAGACTCGTACTCTTGAGTTGCTTTGAACATCAACCCAAGACGTAAGTGGACTTCGTTAGCTCTCTGGAAACTTGGAGAAACGTACAGTAATTGTTGAAAAGCTTTCACGGCCCTGTAAAAAAACACCACGTTATACAATATGATCTTTGACTTAATTATACAGATATACGAAGAAAAAAGGTTAATGATGATCTATAAATACTAGATGTTTGCGTTGTCGTAAGTCTGTGTTTTATCTACTACAATTATTATTTTCTTAATACTGTACGAGTACGAGAAGATTAATTGAGATTTTTAATATAATCCTTTGTATGTAAACGCGTAGCTAAATATTGTCTGATATTGCGGCATTGATAAGTCAGAAATGTGACGTAGATGGATGTTATGTAAGCCTCTCCTAAAATACGTCTACTTAGATAAGACACGTGACCTTGAAAAGAATCCACAACTGTAGCGCTATTTTTACGAGATTGTACTCTCCTAACGGACTTAAATAAGAACGACAAACATTGATTTGTATTGTATTTTTACTTACTATTCAGTAAGTGAACATAAATATACACACACGACAGCCGAAGAACTTTTTGAATAAACATCTGTATATACCAGCTTTTAAAGCCTTATCTAATATCTCCCTTCCATTAAGTGTCCTAATTTTAACAACTGAATGGATGTTGTATATTGTTAAGACGTAAGGAACATAAAAAGAAATGACGTGAAAACAGAACAGAACACTTATACTACAGGTTGTATATACGCATATCGTATTCTGTGTTTAGTTTCACATATTCGTATTCAAATAACGATCGAAAAAGGTAAATAAGACTTGTGGAAGTGTTTAGTAGCCACACTTTTGAAACACCGTGTATATTAAATTCTTTCGTCCGAAAATAAAGCTGTCGACCCGATTGTTTCATTCCAAACAATTGCGAAGTTGAAGGTCGAAATTAACACCTTAAAAGTGCAACTCAGGGTCAGGCGACGGAGGACGATGAACTCGAACAGGATAACTCCGATGATAAGATTACGGAAATAAAGAATTAAACGGAACGATACGCATTTGCAACATTGAAAAAGGAAAGTCCGACTGGACTTTCAAAATCTGCAACACTCCGCAAGTACTATTACTATCATTCACACAACTGGAGCAATAGTAGGCGTAGTGAGAAATTAGCGCAATAATGTTAACCATGCGACACATCTCATTCCTAACACTGCGATGATGTTTGCGATATTTGTCGGACGGATAATTTTATATATTACGTATTCACCCCTTTCATACGAAGTCGTCATGCACATCTGACCGTGTAATTCCTGACTTCGTTGACAAAAATTCGTACACTTTCAATGACCCTCAAGTCACGCACCACGCACGAACTTCCTTACACCTAAAAACCACATGTTCAAATGCCACGTATAAACAAAGCCTTATGAAATTCGACTCTTTAAACGACGCGTGTAAATGCTTTTAAAAAAGACATAAAAACCCACCAATACAATAGTATTATGAATTCATGTTTATTGTTTATAAAAATTAAATCCGAGCTATTACAGCTTTATATCGTGTACTCGGCGTATTTGTATTGTCGGCCTTTCAAAGCGAGGTCATTTACTAATCCATCTGTTACAATAATCATCGTTATCAAACTCTTGCCAAGCTAATGAGTGCGTTTCCAACGACTTGCAAAACATTAATAACTACTACGGAACCCGCATGGGGCAAATTATGTGGCGTGAGCGAAGCTCGTGACCACGTTATTCAGTCCACTGAATTACTACTTCACGTAATTATCGTTATTAACGTCAACCAAAAAAACAAACGCAAATATTGAACTAGGTCGTTTTTACCTTAAAACTGTTCAGTCAGTTTTACTTTATTTTGATGATTATTCTCAGTGACACGCTGTGACCTTGAAATGTCATATAGGTATTCTACATTCATTCTAAATATGATACCAAAGTTTAAACAAATTTTAAAAAATTGGTCGAAAGTTGTTTACACAGAAATTCCCTTGCTCCTGACGTACAATGAAACATTTTCGAGTTGAGTTTTTCTTTACACATTTTGTAATGACGTCAACATTTTTGCAAAGATTTTTTGGGGTGGCGTCATCAATTTTTAGGGGGGATGAGCAAATACATTTTGAATATTTTCATCAAAAATTTACCATGCCTATTGTAACTTTAAAACATCTCCAAGATTTCAAAGCATTCGGTTTTGCACATTCAAAATATTGCAAAATGTTTTATAATTTTGATTGTTTTTGCAAAAATCTAGACATTTCGGGTAAAAACTCAATACGGAGTCGTAAACTACACGTGTACTATGTGCAATTTTGAAGTGACGTCATCACATTATTAGTGGGGACCATTAGGCAAATTTTGGTTAGCGTTTTACCATCTACATGATATTCCTAACATAAATACAGAATTTGACAACAATCGACCCAGAGATTACAATACTTCCTTTGGTTACGCTGTTACTTGCTTTATTTCAACCAAGTGTTTGAGAAACCCAGTTCGAACGTAACACGGTCGTTTAATAACACTAGTTTACAATTTTAAACTTTTTTTCGTATCCAAAAATAAAAAAAATATTTTCTACTTCTAAATTACTTACTGATAACAAATCCAAAAACGGATAATCCCTATCACGTCAGGTTTTTTCATAAATCCAAAATAATGAACTTTGCTTTTACCTTCTTGTTAGTGTTAAACTGATTCATGTTAATGCACCATGTCGTATAAAAAATGTCTTCGAGATCGTGCAAAGTAAGTGGAAATCAGTTTTCTTACGTTTGTGGTAAAATTATAGTACCTAAAGCTGGAAGACCTGTTCAAATATGTTTAAAAAGAAGGTATCAAGGTTTTTGGAACGAAAATGTGTTACTGTCGGTCTATTGTAAGAGAAACTGACAGTACTGCCAATAAAAGAAAGTGTTAATTATTTTTAATTTTGAGCCACAATGTTTATAATATATACTGGGTTTTGCTTTTATTTGATACAACCCCTGTAACTTCTTTATTCTTAAAGATAAACCTATACTTCTTGGAGCAAATTTGTATCATTTAAAAAGATCTTTCTGAGGCCAACCCCACATTTTTATTATCACTTCCCGTAGAAAAATCAAAAGCAACCAATTACTCTAAAATCAATACTTGAAAAATTTTAAATAAAACATTGATGACAATCTAGCTTGAAAAATTGACTCATGTTATTTATTTACGCAAATGATCTTTTAAAATGATACAAATTTGCTCAAAGAACTATATGTTCATATATATTTAAAAATAAAAAAATTACAAGAGTTGTATAAAAGAAAAGAAATACGGGGTATGTTTATATAAATATCTCAAAAACCTGACGCGATGAATTTTTTCTGCTTTCAGATTTGAATTTCCCAAACCCAAATCTTTTAGGTTCAACTATTTTTGTCTTTGGATATAAAACCTTGTAAACTAGTGTAATTAATGTACCTATTTTATCAATGAATAAATATTTTCTTTTTTGAACTTTGGTGTCATATTTAAAATGCACTTTCAAAACTCGATCCTCCTCCAATTTTGACACTTCAAGGTCAACACCATTTTGTTACTCATCGCGTTTTAATTTCACAGCTGTACCTGCAGCCGTCCCGAAGTCATATAAGGGAACTAAGGCAACTTTCTTTTTCTAAAACACATTGGCGTATTAACAAAGAAATCCGTATGGTATTCCAAAAATATCTGTTTAACTCTTGTGTATTACCGTTACGTTACAAAATTTTGACCTCGAACGACCTTTTCAGCATAGTGCCTTTTTGTGGGTTGGTATGGTGCTATTTACGTCAGAAATGTCAATACTTCGCAGGTGTTCGACAGCGTGATCGCGGTTTGATTTTCGTATAATTGATGAAATAAGCGGAGGGTTTTTTATTTTTAGACCGAAATGTCATTCAAAAGTGACTACGTGACTGACCAGAGATGGTCACTTTTGTTCTGGTTAAAAGTGACCGTCAACACCACCACTTCCGAAAATAAAGCAACAAAAACTCAAAGATTTATTTTCAAGAAAGTGATTCTCGTTCTTTTGTACCAGTCCTCTATTTTATAGATTTACGACCTTCTAGTCCTAAGAAAAATCTCTTATCTTCAGTGATGTGACGACAAGGTAATTTTCAACAGGAAAACGGAATAGGCGATGTCCTGACAACAATAGCCTGGGTAATTTTACTTTACAATGTTGACAATGACCAGGTAAACATCCCACGAGCAGACGGCCTCTGATTCAGGTTCCATAAATTTTGACTAATACTTTTATTGCATGCCCACCTCTTCCAACAACTGTTGGTCGCGTATTCAGTTATTCTCCCACCCAGATCGGTCCATAAATATGAATCGTCTTTTAAAAATAACAAAATAGCCACAGTCCCTGCAAGTTAAAACTGCTAACATCGGCTTGCTTTACTTTTAAAATTGACTGTGTTATGCAGAGGTTTCGTAAATGGTTCTAATCCAGTGGACACTGATTTGTTTAAAGTTCAAATGTCATAATTATTCCGACAGGTTAATAAATTTTTTGTAATTTTCAGAAAACGAACTCGGGAGGATGCGTTTGGCGCGCGTCACGCGAGTTGTTTACTACGGCCTACGCACGGCGCGTTAGAAAAGCGTGGAACCTGCGGGCGGCAGAGCCGAAATCGTGAAAGCCCTACGCACCGACCTGGGCGACGTCTCGCAAGGTAGAAATCGAAAAACGTTCAAATACGTAAGTTGTTATTAGATAACATCAACATGTGCGGAAGCAGATGGACGAAAGCCAGCTGTTGAACAGCTGCGCAGGTGATCGTCTTCACAAACAATGCACGGACCTGCCCAAGGTGTACTGTCCAACAAAGACTAGAGCCAATATATTTTATGCAACTGCGAGGACTAGCTACGAGCTATGACTAATTGACCACTCGAATAGAGATGCTTTGATCGTACCCACAGCGAGATCGTACGGTCGGTTGGAAATGTTTGGACAGGTAGAATTCTCGGTCATTGACGCGATGAATCAAGGTTACAGACGGACGATGCATTTTGGTCCGACCAGGACCACGCAAAAAAGTTGCTTTACATAAAGCATAGAAA